GTCTTGTTTTAACTTGACACCAGCATTTATATAAGCATTTTGCTTAACTAAAAAATTAAGTGCTACTTTTAACTCGTGTGTTCTAACAGTTTTATACAAGTCTTTGTGATCTAATCGAACAGGATCATTAATACGTCTTTTTAATTGAACTCTTATAATATGTAATTCGTCGTCAATTCTTGGAAGTAATGGAAGCATTGCATTTGGATCAACTGGAACGTTTACAACATTTCCTTTCATTTTATACTGTCCACCTTTTGGTAAATGTAATATTGTTTCAAATATTATTCTTGCAGACACCATTCTTTCTTCTAAATCATTAAGACAATTAATACAATTTGGTATTTCAGGAAACATTAATCCATTGGACAAAGCGAGGCGAGGAATTTTAGCTTTTAATATGTCTTGATAACATGTATTACAAAATTGACAATTTTCTTTATAATCAAAGAAATCAATTTGTGTTTTCTGATTATCGTTCAATTTCGCAAAGCTAACAATGTTGAGAGTACGAATTTGTGTTTTAAACCATAGACATCCACAACAACAACACATTTCAGTTGGTCCGTATAACTTTGTCTCTTCAAATTTTTTAATATTTGATTCTAGTTTAGTATTTAGTTGTTTAATTGCTTTAAGTTCTTTTTTAACTTCTTTTTGACGAACACGTGATTCTTTATCTTTATCACGTTTATCAGCCATTCGTTGTTTATTAGCCTCTTTTTCGCGATTACGCGATTCTTTGTCTTTAATACGTTTATCAGCCATTCTTTGTTTATTAACTTCTCTTTCGCGTTCACGTGATTCTTTATCTTTAGCACGTTTTTCAGCCATTCTTTGTTTATTAGCTTCTTTTTCACGATCACGTGATTCTTTATCTTTAATACGTTTATCAGCCATTCTTTGTTTATTAGCTTCTTTTTCACGATCACGTGATTCTTTGTCTTTAATACGTTTATCAGCCATTCTTTGTTTATTAGCTTTTTTTTCACAATCACGTGATTCTTTATCTTTAGCGCGTTTATCAGCCATTCTTTGCTTGTTTGCTTCATTTTCACGATCAAGAAATTCTTTATCTTTAAGTCGTTTATCAGCTAATCTTTCTTTATCAGAAATATTTTTTCGCTTCTTTTTATCTAAATATTCTTTTTCAGAGTCAGACATGATTTATAATCTAAATTTAATGTAGACGCAATTGTTTAGATCACATAAAGTATACAAATAACAAATAAATAATATTAATATTAGAAATATTAGAAATATTAGAAATAATTAAATGTAATTAAAAAATTAATTTTACTTACATGTTCTCTCTTCGATGGCTCGACTTGAACTGAGGCTTGAAATAATAATTTCACTTTATATAAGGTAATTAAATGTTGACGCAATATTAATGTTGACGCAATTATATATAATGACGCAATTATTAATGTTGACGCAATTATTAATGTTGACGCAATTATTAAGTTCACTAACAACAAATAAAAAATTAATATTATATATTAGAAATATTAGAAATAATTAAATGTAATTAAAAAATTAATTTGACTTACATGTTGTCTCTTCGATGGCTCGACTACAACTGAGACTTGAAATAATAATTTCACTTTATATAAGGTAATTAAATGTTGACGCAATATTAATGTTGACGCAATTATTGTTGACGCAATTATTAAGTTCACAAACAACAAATAAAAAATTAATATTATATATTAGAAATAATTAAATATAAGTAAAAAATTAATTTGACTTACATGTTGTCTCTTCGATGGCTCGACTTGAACTGAGGCTTGAAATAATAATTTCACTTTATATAAGGTAATTAAATGATGACGCAATTATATATGATGACGCAATTATTAATGTTGACGCAATTATTAAGTTCACAAACAACAATTAAAAAATTAATATTATATATTAGAAATAATTAAATGTAAGTAAAAAATTAATTTGACTTACATGTTGTCTCTTCGATGGCTCGACTTGAACTGAGGCTTGAAATAATAATTTCACTTTATATAAGGTAATTAAATGATGACGCAATTATATATGATGACGCAATTATTAATGTTGACGCAATTATTAAGTTCACTAACAACAAATAAAAAATTAATATTATATATTAGAAATAATTAAATGTAAGTAAAAAATTAATTTGACTTACATGTTGTCTCTTCGATGGCTCGACTACAACTGAGACTTGAAATAATAATTTCACTTTATATAAGGTAATTAAATGTTGACGCAATTATTAATGATGACGCAATTATTAATGTTGACTCAATTATTAATGTTGACTCAATTATTAATGTTGACTCAATTATTAATGTTGACTCAATTATTAATGTTGACTCAATTATTAATGTTGACTCAATTATTAATGTTGACTCATTTATTAATGTTGACTCAATTATTAATGTTGACTCAATTATTAATGTTGACTCAATTATTAATGTTGACTCAATTATTAATGTTGACTCAATTATTAATGTTGACTCAATTATTAATGTTGACTCAATTATTAATGTTGACTCAATTATTAATGTTGACTCAATTATTAATGTTGACTCAATTATTAATGTTGACTCAATTATTAATGTTGACTCAATTATTAATGTTGACTCAATTATTAATGTTGACTCAATTATTAATGTTGACGCAATTATTAATGTTGACGCAATTATTAAGTTCACAAACAACAATTAAAAAATTAATATTATATATTAGAAATAATTAAATGTAAGTAAAAAATTAATTTGACTTACATGTTGTCTCTTCGATGGCTCGACTAGAACTGAGACTTGAAATAATAATTTCACTATATAAGGTAATTAAATGTTGACGCAATATTAATGTTGACGCAATTATTAATGATGACGCAATTATATATAATGACGCAATTATTAATGTTGACGCAATTATTAATGATGACGCAATTATATATAATGACGCAATTATTAATGTTGACGCAATTATTAAGTTCACTAACAACAAATAAAAAATTAATATTATATATTAGAAATATTAGAAATAATTAAATGTAATTAAAAAATTAATTTGACTTACATGTTGTCTCTTCGATGGCTCGACTACAACTGAGACTTGAAATAATAATTTCACTTTATATAAGGTAATTAAATGTTGACGCAATATTAATGTTGACGCAATTATTAATGTTGACTCAATTATTAATGTTGACTCAATTATTAATGTTGACTCAATTATTAATGTTGACTCAATTATTAATGTTGACTCAATTATTAATGTTGACTCAATTATTAATGTTGACTCAATTATTAATGTTGACTCATTTATTAATGTTGACTCAATTATTAATGTTGACTCAATTATTAATGTTGACTCAATTATTAATGTTGACTCAATTATTAATGTTGACTCAATTATTAATGTTGACTCAATTATTAATGTTGACTCAATTATTAATGTTGACTCAATTATTAATGTTGACTCAATTATTAATGTTGACTCAATTATTAATGTTGACTCAATTATTAATGTTGACGCAATTATTAATGTTGACGCAATTATTAAGTTCACAAACAACAATTAAAAAATTAATATTATATATTAGAAATAATTAAATGTAAGTAAAAAATTAATTTGACTTACATGTTGTCTCTTCGATGGCTCGACTAGAACTGAGACTTGAAATAATAATTTCACTATATAAGGTAATTAAATGTTGACGCAATATTAATGTTGACGCAATTATTAATGATGACGCAATTATATATAATGACGCAATTATTAATGTTGACGCAATTATTAATGATGACGCAATTATATATAATGACGCAATTATTAATGTTGACGCAATTATTAAGTTCACTAACAACAAATAAAAAATTAATATTATATATTAGAAATATTAGAAATAATTAAATGTAATTAAAAAATTAATTTGACTTACATGTTGTCTCTTCGATGGCTCGACTACAACTGTGACTTGAAATAATAATTTCACTTTATATAAGGTAATTAAATGTTGACGCAATATTAATGTTGACGCAATTATTAATGTTGACTCAATTATTAATGTTGACTCAATTATTAATGTTGACTCAATTATTAATGTTGACTCAATTATTAATATAATTAGATATCTGTTTATGGCTGAGTTATAAACAATTTCTAATTTTAGGTTTATTAAAAAGTAGATTTGTCGGATATTTACCTTATTTTTCAATAAGGTACAAAGTTACCATTATTATATTTTGTATGTTAGTAAATAAATTATAAAAAATTTTCTATTTTTGTATCTTAAACAATAAAATATTTATGATTTTATTAGTATTTTTTATTAATCCGTCATTTTGTCTATGTTCCTGAAGAGATATCAAAATTTTAATGCATATATTTTATGCTTGTTTTTGATGCTTTATACAAATCTATACTTAAAATTTTTTTAAAAAAAAATTATGTACTTTGGCCGCCATTTTGTCTATGTTCCCGAAGAGATATCAAAATTTTAATGCCACTTTTCAATACATTATTAGTAGTCCTCTAACCGAATCTGAAGTCAGAATTTCAAAATTCGCAAAAAAATGCTACGCACACACACACACACACACACACACACACACACAAAAAGGCTCGTATAGATTTCAGAAAACAAAACTTTTTCAAAGTTTTTTTTGAAAATTAGATTATATATATATATATATATATATATATATATATTATTTAATTTGAATTTAAATATTGCATGTGATTTTTTATTGTTAATTATTAATTTATTTCTAATATAATATTTGAAATATATATATATATATATTTATTGATAACATTAATTTTATATTATTATTATTATTATTACAGTATTATTACAATTAGTAATACACTGTATTAACTAAACTAATCTAAAAAAAATAAATAATTAGTAACTAAACTGTCATTTTATATATCAATATATATCATTAAAAACTAATGTAAAAAATTTTTTTATTAGACATATTTTCTAACAAAAAAAAAATGATTATTATTAGCAAACAATTGTTAGTATTATTATCATCGACATCACCACCAATGATAAGTGTCGGTCATTATTGGCTACAATACCGACACCAATACCATTGGCAACAAATTAGAGGACAGACATCAGTATTATTATTATCTACCGATCCGTTAGCACCTAAAACAACAACAACAATGTTTAGACAGTTTGTTAGTAGGTTTCCGCTGCCGACGCCACCACTACCCATACGTACCGGCCGTATGCTAGACATTGAGGACATTGTTGACAAACAATTTAAGGAATCGGCGGTCAAGTTTGCATCCATATTGAACACCAATACGGATACCGGAGCCGTCTATAGGGCTACGGGTTGTATTGTTGATGTAGTGACCGTCAGCCGCGGCAGCGGCCAGACTGGTACTACAATCAGACTACGGCTGATAACCACAGCTCACGGCCAGGCAATTGGACTGCCGGTCAAACTGGTCGGCATTCGGCTACCCTATCAGCAGCCGGCACGGGTAGCGTACGTCAATACAGGTTTGGAAATGGCCTTAATTGAGTGTCAACTGACTACCCATAAACAGGTACCGGCATTTGACTGGCAAACAGCTACCGAATCGTTGCGGCAACTGTTTGGCCATGAAGTTATGGCACTGGGCTTTCCCGACGGTGGCTATCAACTATGTACCGGTTTGGTTAACTGTCCCCAGAGTTTAATGACCGACGATTATAATCTGAATTATATAACATTTCGGGAACCGGCCGAACCAAATGTCGAACACACGACACCCATATATCACGGATTTTCTGGCGGACCCCTAATCGATCTCCTCAATGGACAGTTGGTTGGCATTAATTTCGGTGCCGTCCGATCGCAACGTATTGCCGTTTCAGTGGATAATATTCAACGTAAGTGAGAGATTAGGGATTAGGGTTTAGAGATTAGGGATAGGGATAGGGATAGGGATAGAGATAGAGATTAGGGATAGAGATAGAGATAGTGATAGAGATAGAGATAGAGATAGAGATAGAGATAGAGATAGAGATAGAGATAGAGATAGAGATAGAGATAGAGATAGAGATAGAGATAGAGATAGAGATAGAGATAGCTATTAATAAATAACATATTATTATAAACCAAATAAAATTAATATATATTTATTTTTTAAATAAAAACTTATAGATTTTATGGAAAGTGCCGACACCTATAAGCACCGACAGCTGACTAGACGACTGGCCGAACACCGGGATCTGATACTTGGCTGCGAAATCGATTGGGACATCGATTGTCTAATTATAACTAATAAGTTTGTCGACTACGAGGGCAAGTATGTCAATCAAACAAACTACTGTTCCCTCCCTCTCTCTCTCTCTCTATAGCTATACTAATATAAATTAAATTGTTTGTTTGTTGGGGACAGCCGTTCATTGGATACGGACGACCTGATCGATACGGTTAATGGCCAGCCTATGGATTCGGTCGATCAGTTTGCCGAACTTGTTGACCAATGTTTGGCTAGTAATCAGCCGACATTGACCATCAAAGGTACCAAACAAGTAGGCCCTGGGATGTCATCGTTTACGGCAATTGTTAATCTGATACCAACACCGACAACATCGGGAGTGACACTAATTTAGGTGATAGTAGTAGTAGTAGTAGTCGTAGTAATAATAATAATAATATTAGTAATAGTGTTGTAATAATACTTTTTATATAATAATAATAATAATAGTTATTAATTAATAAAACAATTTTAAAAAAATAATTTATTAATTAATTTATTTTTTTTGTTAATAAATGATATTTATTTTAATTTTATTTATTTATTTTTTTTTGTGTTAATATTGTATTTTAAATAATTATAATATTATAGTAAATATTATTGGGGTTTAAGATATTTAATAAATAATTATTTTTTTTGTTAAATTTGTTTAAAAAAATACTGTTTATGTTTGTTTCAAAAAATAAAAAATAATAATAAAATATATTTTATGAATACTAGTTAGTAATAAGTTATATATTTTATTTCAAATTTATTTTTAGATAAAAATATAATAAATTAATTAATATTTATTATTTTTTTTTGTTAACAGATAACAATTATAATCTTATGATAAATTATTTTTAACATTATATTATTTTATTTTAAAAATAAATTATCAGTCAATTGATTAGATATATTGACAATATTTTGATAACAGTTTTTTTTTAATTATTTAATTATTTTATATAAAGTTTGGAAAGTTTTTAGTGATGTAATTGTAAACTCAAAAAATTGTTATCATTTTGTGCACTCATTTAAGATAATAATTATTTTTATCAACAAAAAAAATTGATTACTAATTTTTTTTGTTATAAATATTAATTATGTAATTAATGTTAAGTTTTTTAAAAAATATCTTATTTTTATATCTAATAATATATTTAATTATATGATGATAAACCTAATGTTATTTTTATTGATAAAAAAATTATTTGATAACTTTTTTTTTCATTGATAATAAATACCTATAAATATAAACTGATTTTGATGTATTATTATTATAATAACAATTTAGTTATATATAAAAGTTAATAACAAAAATTTTAATTTTAATAAATTATATATTAATTTTGTTTAAACAACAAAAAAATGTTACAATTTATATCATTATTATTATTAAATCCTATAACTATTTTAATAGTTATATTGTATGCAATTTACAGGTATTTATTGTTATTAAAATAATTAACAAAAATATTTATAAAATTATTATTTTTTTTTGATGACTAGATATTATACATCAAAATGTATGTATTGGGAGTCGCAAGGAGTACCGACAGCATCGGTAAGTCTATGGACACGTATGACCAGATCCATAGGCGATTGGGAACAGGAGTTATATGGAAAGTATGGCAAATGTTTCGGTATCTATGAACTGAACCGTCCGGTACTCTATCTGTCGGAACCCGATTTGATTCGCGATGTTTTAGTTAAAGATTTTCATAGTTTTCAAAATAGACGGGTAATTATAATCAACAAAAAAAACAATTAATTAATTAAATTGTATTTTTTTGTAATAATTTTACGGATATTTAATTTTTAACTATATATAACTATTAATATATAACTATTTATAATATATATATATAGTATATTATTGTCTATCTATACAATAGTTTATTTTATTTTTTAAAAATAATGTTTATTAGACTAACTAAATATTAATTAATTAATTAATTAATATATTAGTTAATTAATAAATCAGTAAAATTAAAAAATTAATAAATTAGTTAATTAATTAAAATAAATCAGTTAATTAAAAAAATCAGTTAATAAAAAAATTATCTATTAATTAAGTTTTGATAATTAAAATAATAATTTTTAAATTTATTTTATTTGATAACTTATCGGTACTTAATTATTATTATTTTAATTAATAAATTAATAATTAATTTATATATCAATATATATATATATATATATATATTTCATAGGATTACTCTACCGGTGCCGACAAAATCATCGAAAAAGTGGTCAGTCTTAACAGGGATGACGACTGGAAACGTATCCGTACTATAATATCGCCGACATTTACGGCCGGAAAACTCCGTAAAGTTATGCCATTAATCACTGGTTGTATGGATAATATGGATAAATATTTGGATACTGTATCCAAAAACGGTAGCTCAGGTGCTGGTAGTGATTTGAAACTACTGTTCGGGGCCTACAGTATGGAAGTCATAATACAGGTAGCATTCGGTACCCGAGTTGATACCCTATTTGATAGGGACAACCCGTTCATCGGTAACGCCAGCAAACTGTTTAGTACGGATTTCAGTCTCCGATTGCTTACGATTAATATGTGGCCCGAAATGGCCAAACTATTACGGTTGCCGTTAGTCGATAAATCGGTGACCAAATTTTTCAGGGAATTTACTCAGAAAATTATTGCCGATAGACTAAGTAGTGGACAACAATTGTCGGAAATTACTGCCAAACGGACCGACTTTTTACAGTTAATGTTAGACACGATGACAGCCACTGATGATAATGACATCGACAACAACAAACCACCGATGACTACAACCAATGATAATAATACTAATAATTTTGATAAATGTATGTTTGAATTGAATTGAATTTTTAGAAATACTAATTAATTAATAATTTTTGTTTTTTTTTTACTTTTATTTGTAAAGATCTGACAAACGATGAACTAATAGCTCAGTCGATCATATTTTTCATCGCCGGCTACGAGACAACTGCCAGTGCTTTGTCTATAATAACCTATTTGTTGGCCAAACATCCCGATTGTCAGCAGAGACTGTACGATGAAATCGATGATTACTATAGACATCATAAACAGGTATATATTGAATAGTAATAAAAATTATTATTATTATTAAAATTATTTATTTATTTTAATAATATTTTTAGTTATTTTAGTTATTATAACTAATTATGATTATATCTGTGATATGAATAAACAGTAAAAAAATATTAATTAATTATTTTAGTTTTTTAGTTATTAGTTATTAATTAACTTAACTATAATAGACATTTCATTTAACTGACATTTATTTATTTTTAATTTATAAAAAAATAGATAATTTAAAAAAAATTATATTTTTTAAACTATAACAAAACAAAACTATTTATAAACTAATTTACCAAAATTATATTTATTTAATTATTTTTTGTTATAATTTATTTATTTTTTATTTATACAGTAATTTTATCATAAAAATAATTATTTTAGTTTATTTTAGTTATTAATTTACTATTATATAGACTTCTATATAACTGATATTAATTTTTATATATAAAAAAATATTTTTACAATTTTTTTATTTAAATTATTATTATTATTATCACTGTATATACAGTCGGACACCGATTACGATGTATTGCTATCCATGAAATATTTGGACGCCGTCTTCAAAGAGTCTCAACGCCTGTATCCGGGCGTATCGTTTGTGGAACGGGAGGCCAACCAGGACTACACATTGAACAACCATACGACTGGCCACCAACAGAGATCCTCCGGTGGTATAACCATACGCAAGGGTCAAGTAGTTCACATACCTGTCTATTGTATACATCGCGATGAGGCTAACTATCCCCAGGCCGACCAGTTCCTGCCCGATCGGTTTCTACCGGGCAATCAATTAGGCCAACATCATCATCCCTATACTTATTTGCCGTTTGGTGCCGGACCACGTATTTGTATTGGTATGCGATTGGCCGTTATTGAGGCCAAACTAGCACTGGTCAATGCCGTCTACAAGTATCGGTTTTTAGATACCGGGGTATGTAGTGTATATACACATAGACACAAACATACATACATATACACACACATACATATACATACAAACATACAAACACACATATATGCACACATATATACACATATACATGCACACATATGTATGCATACATACATACATACATACATACATACATACATACATACATACATACATACATACATACATACATACATACATACATACATACATATACATACTTACATACATACACACACGCACACACACACACACACACACACATACAATTTATCTAACCGTTCAAAACATATATTAGATATTTATTTAATTATTTTTTATTTTGTTTTGTTTTCACAGAAACCCCTTGAGTTTTATGACGGTTTGTTAGGCGTTATGACTCCTAAGCAAGTGTTTGTTAGGGTTGAAAAACGTCCCGAAAATTAATTAATAATTATTTTTATAACAATAATAATAACTAATAAAATTTCTTTTAAAAAAAGTTATATTCATATATATCCTATCTATTATATATTGAGTTTAATTATTAGATGTATTATTATTAAATACTATGTATTTGAAAAAGTTTTATTTAAAAAAAAATATTAAATACAATTAATTAATTAATTTTCTATTGTATAATATAAAACTGTATAAAATTTTTTATATAATTAAATAAAAATAATTAAATACAAACAAATTGTAATAAAATATTATTTCGATATTTTTTTCTAATAAACTAATTATATATGATTTAACTAAAAAAAATTATATTTTATATATATATAATTTTTTATTAATTAATTAATATTATGTATATCAATAAAAAATTATGTATAGAACTATTAATATAATAAAATTAATTAAAACATTATTAAAATAATATATTTATTTTCTAAAAAAACAATATATTAATATAAATAGCTAATTATTTTTTTTAAAAAATCAAATAAAAATAAATTAAAGTTATTGATATTTTTTTAAAAAAAATAGTATTTTAATTTTTTTTATATATAGTTGTAAATTATTTATTAATATATATATATATATCCTAAACATCAAGCATTTTAAGCCACATCAATATACGTGGATTTATTAGCTTATAATTATCTATTGAATTAGTAAAATCAGCATGGTTATAATAATCATTGGGTACTAGATAGTCGTCCAATGGTTTTACTAAAAACCAAACCAAAACCAAACCAACAAAAATAAATTAATAATTAAATTAAATAATTTTTTTAAAAAAAATATGAGGGGTAGGGGTGTCTCAAAAATTACCCGTCAATTTGTCGGTAAGTTTTTTCACATCAACTGGCGTTGCGTACAAATCATTTGGTCCGGTCATCAAAACCAAATAGGTTGAACGTATCAGTTCAATGGGGTAGTCGGGTGGCATCAGTTGGCCATACCTTTCCCAATTACCTGTCGATCCCAGATCTAATCGTTGAAATCTATCCGACAGTATAAACTGGCCGTACTGTTGGGGTAATTGGACGGACATATACTGTAGGGATTTGGCAACAGTTATGGGTACGTCATCCTAATAATAATTTTTTTTTAATAAAAATTAAAAATTAATTAGTAATAATTAATTTAATTTTTTTAATAATAATTTTTTGTTGTTAACTAATAAGCTAGTATCAATTATATTTTTTGTAAAAATATATATAAACTTAATATTTTATATATAATAAATGTTTCAAGCTAAAATTATTGTTATATCTATAAAGCTAGTATCATTTTTAAATAATATATATACTGTATATAAACTTATTATTTTTTTTTAAAAAATGTTTCAATAAAAAACAAACTAAGCTAGCATAATAAATATATATAAATAATTAATTAAACTTATTATTTGTTTAATAAAATTAATTAAATTCAAAAAATTTATTTTATATATTTATAAATAATAAATATTACTGTAAGCTAACATAGATATTTTTTTCAAAAAAAATATAATAAACTTATTACAATACATATTTAAAGTTTATATCTAAAAATTTCCATATATGCAATAAGCTAGCATAAAAAATAGGCATATAAATAATTAATTAAACTTATTATTAAAATTAATATTTTCATATAAAAATTTTTAATTTTCTTATTTTTAAATGTTAATAGTTTAAGCTAGCATATTTTTTCAAAAAAAAATTATAATAAACCTATTAGTATACATATTTAAAGTTTAATATCTAAAAATTTCCATATATGCAATAAGCTAGCATAAAAAATAGATATAAATAATTAATTAAACTTATTATTAAAATTAATATTTTCATATAAAAATTTTTAATTTTCTTATTTTTAAATGTTAATAGTTTAAGCTAGCATATTTTTTCAAAAAAAAAAAATATATAATAAACCTATTAGTATAAATATTTAAAGTTTATATCTAAAAATTTCCATATATGCAATAAGCTAGCATAAAAAATAGGCATATAAATAATTTAATTAAACTTATTATTAAACTTATTATTTTTTTTAATTACAATTACTATTTAATTACTAAACTTAATTAATTTTAATTATTAATAAAAAAATAAATAAAAATAACCTACCGGTCCCACTGAATCCGGATCGTAGCCATTGTAGAAAAAATTCATTTGTTTACATAAATCACTAAACAGTGGATTAGTACAGATATATTGGCCATAGTATTGCATCCTAGGCCTGGGTTCGCCTATAAAGCCAATAGTATTGGTCCTAATTTATAATTAAAAAAAATTAAATAATTAATTAATTAATTATATATGATATATATTGCTAACACATTTATATAGCTAAACGGTGCAAACAATCGGCTCAGGCTTTTCGTATGGCTCAAGTAGGCTATGGGTGCCATCAGTATAACTGGTTTCACGTATTGATGATAATCGGGTTCAAGTGATAGTAGTACTAACATTGATGTCGTACCCATTGAATGGCCGACATAGGCTACCGAAGCTTTTTAACAACAATAATATAATTAATTATAACAATTATATAAGTAATTTTAATTTTAATTTTTTATAATAGCATACATTTTCCCGTAAACTTTCTAATATAGTCGATTGAATTTTTCAGATCATACATGCCCAGTTCGGTAAACGTATAGTTCCAATAGTTTTTAATACCTAGTAATTTATGGGAGGTGGGGGTGGGTGGGGTGGGTAGGGCGGGGATGTTATAAAAACAAATATATATATATAAATTAAGTATAAATAACTATTATTAGTATTATTGTCAAAAAAATGTGTATATTTATGTGTATTAAACAAAACTATTAGTATAGTAGTAAATAATAATAATAATTATTATTATTATTAAAAAATATTATTATTAAAAATTATTATTAAAAAATATTATTAAAACTATTATAAAAAACTATTATTAAAAAATATTATTAAAAACTATTATTAAAAACTATTATTAAAACTATTACTAAAAATTATTAGTAAAAACTATTATTGAAAACTATTATTAAAAAATATCTTTAAAAACTATTATTAAAAACTATTATTAAAAACTATTATTAAAAACTATTATTAAAAACTATTATTAAAAACTATTACTAAAAATTATTATTAATATTTACTACTATTAATAGTTTTATTTAATACCGGTATATATATATATATTTCAATAATATTAATAAAATAGTATTTAATATTTAATAATAATTATTATTATTAATAATACATACTATTATCGATATATTTATCCGAGTATTGATTGCCGCGGGTATTGCCTAACCAGACATCATAACCGCATGCGGACAATGTGAACGCCAGATTGGATGTTACCGTTAACTGACAATCGTTGACTAACGTACCGTTACGTTCACTATACTGGCCATTACTGGCCAACTGTCCCCGATTTGATACCAGAAAAATATCCGATGAAAATGATATACCGTGCCATAACAATACCGGTCCTCTAGATGGTCGTACTATGCCATCATCAGCACCGGTAGTAGTAGTAGTAGTCAATTGTGGTTTAATCATACGAAATAATGTCAGTATATAGCCGTCATCGGTAACTACTGTATGGGCAGTACTACCGAAACCGCGGGATTTGATTAGCTCTGGCTTTAAATACATATTAAATAAAAATAAACATAAAATAATTAATTAATTTAAATATAATAATTTAGTTACTAATAATTAGTTAATAATAATAATAATAATTAGTAAATAATAATAATAATAATTAGTAAATAATAATAATAATTATTATTAGTAAATAATAATAATAATAATTAGTAAATAATAATAATAATAATTAGTATATAATAATAATAATTAGTATATAATAATAATTAGTATATAATAATAATAATTAGTATATAATAATAATTAGTAAATAATAATAAATATTAATAAATATTCGGATTATTAATTTAACAAAATTAATTAATTACATAATAATAATTATTATTACATAATTTAATTAATTTTAATAGATTAATAATTATTTAATATTAATAAAAATAATTTTATTATATTTAAAAATTTTTATTTTACAGTATTTTCATAGATTTCCGGTATTAAATTAGGTAATTGTGTTGAGCACTGGTATATAAAATAATTGAAAATAACTACTAAATAATAAAATGCATAATTTTTTGATATAATTGATTTTTTAACATAATTAATATTATTTGATTTCAAATCAAATAATATCATATTATTATTAGTATTATTATTATTATTATTGAAATATATAATTTGTTATTTAAATTTTTTTTATTAAAATAAAACTTAGCAAATAATTTGCAAAATAATAAATAAAAAAAGAGTTTAATTAATATATTTTTAAATAATAATAATATAATTAAAAGTTTATTAAACTAATATACATGTTTATTAACACATGTTTTTATTATATRTAGTATTTTATATTATAAAAAAAATATATTTAACTATTAATATATATATAGTATATATTACAGTATATATAATATAAATTGTTTTTTATTTAGCTATATGTTTGTGTAATTTATAATAATAATAAATTTTTCATAATATTTTTTTAATTAGTAATTAATAATAAATTTAAAATAAGATATAATGATATTTAATATATTTATATATTAACACAGTATTATTATTATATTAATTTAAAATTAATTTTTTTAAAAAAAAATTATGTATAGAACTATTTATATAATAAAATTAATTAAAACATTATTAAAATAATATATTTATTTTCTATGAAAAAACAATATATTAATATAAATAGCTAATTATTTTTTTAAAAAAATCAAATAAAAATAATAGTATTTTAATTTTATATATTGTTATAAATAATATATATATATATATCCTAAACGTCTAGCATTTTAAGCCACATCAATATACGTGGATTAACTAATTTATAATTATTAATCGATCCAATAAAATCAGCATGGTTATAATATTTATTGGGCACTATATAATCATCCAATGGTTTTACTAAAAAAATCAAAAATTATTAAATTAAAAAAAATTAATTAATTAATTAATTAATTAATTACCCGTTAATTTGTCGACAAGTTTTCTAACATCTAGGGGTGTTGAAAAAAAATCATTGGGTCCACTAATTATGACCAAATAGGCGGACCGTATCAGTTCAACGGGGTAGTCGGGTGCCATTGGTTGGCCATACATTTCCTGGTTACCGGTTGGTCCCAAATCTAGCCGATGAAATCGACCCGATAGCATAAACTGGCCATATTGTTGCATCAATAGACTAGATGTATATTGTAATGATTTGCTAACAGCTATTGGTTCATTGTCCTTGATGATAATAAATAATAATAATAATTAATTAATTAATTAAATTTATCGGGTATTTAAAAAATAAATAAATAAATAATTACCGGTTCGGTTGCATTCGGATCGTAACCATTGTAGACATAGTTCATTGTATTGCATATATTGTTTAATAGTTTATTAGTACAAACATGTTGGCCATAAAACTGCATCTTAGCCCTGGGTTCGCCCACTGCTTCAATAGTTAGCCTTTAATAATAAATTATTAATAATAATAAATTAATAATTATAATATTAATAATAATAAATTATTAATAATTATAATAAACTAATAATTATAATAATAATAATACTAATACTAAATAGTAGATTAATTATTTAATTAATTTTGTTAAAATAATTATAGAAATTTAGCTATTAATTAAAAACTATTGATTTTTAAAATATAATAAATAAATTATTAGTATTTTCTGTAACTCTATTAAAACTATTACATATAAATACTATACAATTTTAATTATTATAAATTATTATAATAATTATTTATAATTAATTATATATATATATATATATATAACTAACCCGTTTATATAGCTAAACGGTGCAAACAGTCGGCCTAAACTTTTTGTATGACTCATATAGGCTGTCGGTCCCAACAATATAACCGGTTTCAGGTATCGCTGATAATCGGGTTCAACCGATAATAGTATCAACATTATTGTTGAGCCCATTGAATAGCCAACATAGGCTATAGATGCTATGGGGGAGGGGAAAATATAATTAAATTAATTAATTCACAACCCCCCACCCCACCCCAAAAAAATATATATATACAAATTAATTTTAATATTGGATTAATTAATATCAATATAAAAATATTTATATATATTTATAAAATTATTATTAATTAACTATATTATAACTAAATGAGTGATTATTAGCAATTAAATTGTGTTTAATAGAAAATAATAATAATAATAATAATAATAATAATAAATATATAAACAATTTTACCTACATTTTCCCGTAAACTTTCTAATATAGTCGATAGTATTATTCAGATCATAAATTGCTAATTCAGTAAACGTATAATTCCAGTAATTTTTATAATCTAAAAAATTTAAAAATTAATTAATTTTTTAGTTATTTTTTTGAAAAACAAATATTATTATTATCACTCAAAAAAAAAATAAAATAAAACAATATTAACTTAATATTAAAATCTATAATTTTATGGTTAGTTTTTTTTATAAATAAAAAATATCAATAAAATTATTTAGTTTACAAACAATTAACTATATGTTTATACATAAATATATATTAAATAAAAATAATAATATTATAAGTTATAGTAATAGTAATAATTATTATTAAAATTAATATAAACATAAACATAGTATTTAATAATAGTTTTTTAATAATAGTTTTTTAATAATAGTTTTTTAATAATAGTTTTTAATAATAGATTTTAATACTAGATTTTAATACTTGTTTTTTAATAATAGTTTTTTAATAATATTTTTTAAATAAAAGTTCTTAATTATAGATTTTAATAATAGTTTTTAGTAATAGATTTTAATAATAGATTTTAATAATAGATTTTAATACTAGATTTTAATACTTGTTTTTTAATAATAGTTTTTTAATAATATTTTTTAAATAAAAGTTCTTAATTATAGATTTTAATAATAGTTTTTAGTAATAGATTTTAATAATAGATTTTAATACTAGATTTTAATACTAGATTTTAATACTAGTTTTTTAATAATAGTTTTTAATAATAATAATAACTATAATTATTATTAATACATACTATTATCGATATGTTTATCCGAGTATTGATTGCCGCGGGTATTGCCTAACCAGACATCGTAACCGCATGCGGACAATGTAAACGCCAGATTGGATGTCACCGTTAACTGACAATCGTTAACTAGCGTACCGTTACGTTCACTATACTGACCAGTACTTGTAGACAACTGTCCCCTATGTGAAAATAAAAACGTATCCGACGATGATACCATACCGTGCCATAATAGTACCGGTCCTCTGGGTGGTCGTACTATACCATTAGCAGCACCGGTAGTCAACCATCGAGGATTAATCATACGATAGACGGTCAGTATATAGCCGTCATCGGTAACAACCGTATGGGCAGTACTACCGAAACCGCGTGATTTGATTAGCTCTGGCTTTAAATACATATTGATATTCAAAAAAAAATAAATAATAAAAAATAATAAAATAATTAAAGCAATTAATTTTATAATATAATAATTAAAATAATAATAATAATAATAATGAATTAATTAGAAAGTTAATTAACAAAAATAAATAATTACATTATAATTATAATTAATTTAATTAAATAAATAAAAATAATTTTATAGTTTTTTTATAATAATAATAACTATAATAAACAAAAAATAATAAATTTCTATAATTATTATTTATTAGTAATTTTAATAATTAGTAATTTTGAAAAAATACTAAACAAATAAAAGTATAAACAAATTATATATATATTTATAATTGTTTATAATGTTTTATATAAAAAAAATATTTAATAAATATAATAATAATAATTAATTAATTAATTAATTAATAAAAAAAAATATATAAATAATACAGTGTTTTGATAGATTTCTGGTATTATTTTTGTATCCATTGATAATTGTGTGAAACATTGGTTTATAATGAATGTTAAACAAAAAATTAATTTCAAACAAAATTCATAATAATTTTTGTCAATTGATTGCCAAACACTTGATAAAAACATATTATCAACAAAATAAAATTGATTAAAAAAAATAATTTTAACAACAAAAAAATAGTAATTAAATAATTATTATATATAATATATAAATTTTAATAAAGTTTAATAATTTTTAAAAAAATAAATACTAATGTAAATAAATTATTAAAAAAAATTTTATCATTGAACTAATGTTTTTGAATAAAAAAATACAAAATTCATTATTAAATTTATTTTTATATTTATTAACATATGTTTTAATAAAATGTTTTATATATATATATATATATATATATATATAAAGTTTTCTGTTTTAAACATATGATTTAAAGTTGAAATTTTAATGTTTTTTAAAATAAATATTAATAATTAAATCAATTACATCTAGCAAATTTTATATATAAATTTTATTTTTATTTTATTAAATATACAGTATTTTAGTTAGAATTAAAATAAAAAATAAATTTTTTTAAATATAAAGTTTATTAAACATTTGTATTATCACTGAAATACTGTATATATATATAAATATATATTTATTTTATGTAATAATAATAAATAACTAAATAACTAAATAAAATGTTTGGATTTTCTAAATATTTCAATAATTTTTTAAATGATTACAACTATAAACTAATTAATAATTTGATAATTAATTTATTAATAATTTATTTAACACTTTATAATCAATGTTTATTAGCACAAGAAACTAATATCAATAATAATAATAATAATAATAATAGTTTTAATAATAATAATAGTTTCAATAATAATAATAGTTTTAATAATAATAATAGTTTCAATAATAATAATAGTTTCAATAATAATAATAATAATATCAATAATAATAATAATATCAATAATAATAGAGATATTAGAAAAATACCAGAAGTCTATCTAAACACTGTATTATTATTTAAAAAAAAATTTTTTTAAATATAATTTACTAAATAATTACTAAAATTTTTTGTTGTTTTGATTTATTTATGTATAAAAAAAGCCAGAGTTAATCAAATTGCGTGGATTTAACAACACTAACCATACGGTTATCACTGGCGATGGCTATATATTGACAGTGTTTCGTCTAATTAAACCACAATTGACTACAACTACTACTACTACCGGTGCTGATGATAGTATAGTACAGCCACCGCCGTCCAGAGGACCGGTATTGTTATGGCACGGACTTGCAGTTTCATCGGATATATATCTAGTCGGTAATCGGGGACAGTTGTCTACGAGTACTGGCCAGTATAGTGAACGTAACGGTACGTTAGTCAACGATTGCCAGTTAACGTTGACATCCAATCTGGCGTTTACATTGTCCGCATGCGGTTATGATGTCTGGTTAGGCAATACCCGCGGCAATCAATACTCGGATAAACATTTAAATCAATGTAATTATTATTATTATTATTATTAAGTATAATAATTGTTTAAATTTTTATTTAATATTAATATATATATATAGTATATATATATATATATATATATATATATATATTTATTATCTATTTTATTTCAAGTTAATTGATTTATAGAGATTTTTTTATTCAATTTTTAATGATTTAATATTTTTCATAAATTTTTGGTTAAATGTTTTTTTTAAATATATAAATAGTTTTTATTTAATAAAGATTTGAGTCTTAATAATTATTAGTTAATAGTAATATCAATTAATTTTTTTATATTATTAAACTAGAAATAAATAAATTAATATATACAGTATATAAATATATAAATATAATTTATACTTTAAAATTTAAATTTAATTTCATCTAGCTAATTATGAAAATTATTGGAATTATACACTAACCGATCTGGCCATGTATGATGTGAAAAATACTATAGATTTTATTAGAAACTTTACGGGAAAATGTATTTTATTTTTAAATTAATTAAATAATTAATTATTTTAATTAAATTAATTAATAACTATTTAATTTGATTTAAAAATTATAATTTCAAGCAACTGTTGGCTATGTTGGCCATTCAATGGGTTCAACAATAATGTTAATACTATTATCAATTGATCCAGATTATCATCAATACTTGAAACCGGTCATATTGATGGCACCGGTAGCCTATATGAGCCATACAAATGCTATATTACGTACACTTATACCGTTAGTTAGTATATTAAGGTACTAATGATAATAATAATAATAATAATTAAAATATAGTATATTTTGTTTGTTATGTGTGTTTTTTATTCAATTAGCAAATTGATTGCACCGTTAGGTTTACCGGTAGTCATAATGCAATTCATAGCCACCTATTTGTGCGCTAATAGTGATCTGAAATTTTTATGTCAACTAATATTTACAACAATTGTCGGCTATAATCCATATATTAATCAACCGGTAAATTATTTAAATAAAATAACTAATTAAAAATTATTTAATTAATTATTTTTTTAAAAAAATATTAATTATATGAATGTGTGTATTGATAGAATATTTAATACAATTTTTAAATTAATTTTTATTATTACTATTATTATTAGTTTGTATTATTATTATTATTATAAATATTATAAATAACTAATAATATAAAACATTTAACTAAATAATAATTATTATTATTAATTTCTATTATTATAACTAATAATAATTTCTATTATTATAACTAATAATAATTTCTATTATTATAACTAATAATAATTTCTATTATTATAACTAGTAATAATTTCTATTATTATAACTAGTAATTTCTATTATTATAACTAATAATAATTTCTATTATTATAACTAATAATAATTTCTATTATTATAACTAGTAATTTCTATTATTATAACTAATAATTTCTATTATTATTATAAATAATAATTTCTATTATTATTATAAATAATAATTTCTATTATTATTATAAATAATAATTTCTATTATTATTATTATTATTAATAATTTCTATTATTATTATTACTTCAAAATAATTAATTAAATAATTTACTTTTTAAAGGACACAATACCTGTATTTATTTCAAAAGCATTTCAATTTATGTCGACAAAACTTTATCTACAATACGGCCAGTTTATGCGATCGGGTAGATTTGGACAGTTTGATTATGATTTAGACAATATCCTAGCCTATGGACAGCTACGGGCACCCGACTATCCCGTCAAACATATACGATCACCATATATGGCCATATATAGGGGATGGACTGATTTGCTGGCCGACGGTAGCGATATTGACAAACTTGTTGGCCAACTAAACGGTAATTATTTATTTATTTATTTAAAAAAGATATAATTTTTAAATAATTTATTTTTTTAAATTTAAAGTAAAATTATTAGATAATTATTTGGTACCCAGTATATTTTATAACCATGCTGATTTTTTGGCTGATATTAATAATAATAATCTAATCAATGGTCGCATACTAAATATATTAAATAATAATATTAATTAATTAATACAAATTTAATTTTTTTTTATATAAATAGACTAATAATAATAATAATTATTATTATTTTGTTAAACAATTTTTGTATTTTTAGTAAAATAAATTAAAATTAATAACTATAAAAATCTATAAATTAGTTTAAAAAAACAAATATTTTTTAAAAGTTTTAAATGTTTTTTTTATTGTTGAAATAGCTATTACTTATATTTTTATAACTATTAAGTGTCGTTTATACATAAAAAAAATATTATCAATAATATATACATATATATACTGTATATATATATATATATATATATATATATAGTATTTTAAATGAATCATTAATTAAAATAAAAGATTACATAAATTTTTTATAGTTTACACACAATTATAATATATTAATGATATTGAAATAAAATAAAATCTATGGGTTATATAGAGTATTGTATAGTATTAAAAATTATATTAATTTAGTTATATATATATCGTATATTATATACATATTTATTAATTTAATAAATATATTATATATCCTTATTGTTGTGTTGGGTGTGTAAGTGTTAAATATATGGATAATTTATCGTTAAAAAAGATATTGCTATTACATATTAATATGAAATTTAATACAAGAAAAAAATTATTGATAAATATATATTTTATATACTAATATATATATATATTTTATATCATATATTGATATTTTTTGTTAAGTGATGTTAAGGAATGCATTTAAGTATATATATATATATATCTTAATACAATAAATAAGATAACAAAATATAATATATTTTATATATATATATATAACAAATACTTAAGTTATTACTGATAATTAATTATTTCTATGATTATTGAATACTATAGTATAAAGTTTAATAATTAATAATAATAATATTAGTAGTAGTTATAGATATAATTTATATACTGGTAAATACTATATATATATATGAAAAATTTAGTATTAATTATTATTAGTATCCCATTAGGTAATAATAATAATAATAATAATAGTATAGATCCTGATGTGTTTGTGACATACAAAATAAAATAAATGCCATAATAATTACTAATAATAATAATAATAATAATAATAATAATAAGATAATATAATAAATATCATATATATATAAGGTATATATACTTAATATATATATATATTTAAAATTTAAATACCCTATTGTCTACACATACAGTATATATCAGTGTTAAAACTTAGTACAGTATTAGTAGTGAAATAAAATAAAAAAAATTTTTTCATATTTTTTTTGTAAATCTTTTAGCAAATATTACACCTAAAGTTTTCACACATATATTATATATATTTTGCTAATTTCATTAAAAACTAAGATAACATTTATATACTGTATAATTGTAAATCATTAATATTATTATTATTATTTTATAATAAAGTTTTATATTATTTTTATTTTTTAAATTGTGTTAAACAAAAAAGTTATTTTCAATTATAGTTTTTATTTTAAATAATAATAATAATAATAGACTAATAAAAAAAAATGTTAATTTGTTTATGATTTTAATTTAATTTTTTTTTGTGCAACAATAGGACTGTATATATATATATATTTAAAAAAATAATTAATTAATTATTAATAATAATAATAATAACTAACAATATATATATAATTAGTTATAAATTTTTTCAATAGTTAAATAATGTAAAAACAATGCAAACAAACTATAATCATAATCCTAATAATAATTTTGAATTAAATAATATGAGTCATACGGGACCTACCGGTGCTGGTGCTGCCGGTGCTGATGGTGTAGTACTCAGGCGAAGCCAAAACAACTCCGATAACAATCATTATAGTTATCGTCAATCAGGCGATCCTCGTATCAACAGTGGTGTCAGTTTCAATATGACCGGTACGACCATGTTTGACAACCCCGGGTTTATCAACGATAATCATATGCATGACGTCCACTTCGGTAACATCGGTAACGGCACCGGTAGTGGTGGCCATGAAATGATGGACACCACCGAAGGCGACGAGTTTGAGTCCATGTTTAACGGCGGGTCAGTTGTTGTGATTTATATATAGATTTTTTTTAATTTTTATTATTATTATTATTATTAGTAGTAATAGTATTAGTAATTGTTTTTAAAAATTTAACAAGTTCATTTTTAATTAAATGAATCATGGTTATTTTAAGTTTATGTGTCCAGTATGTATGTGTGTATATGTGTGTGTATATGTGTGTGTATGTGTGTGTATGTGTGTGTGTGTGTGTATGTATGTATATGTGTATGTGTGTATGTGTGTATGTGTGTATATGTGTATGTGTGTTTATGTGTGAGTTTATGTGTGAGTGTGTATGTAAGTATGTGTGTATGTATGTGTGTGTATGTRTGTGTGTGTGTGTGAGTGTGTATGTAAGTATGTGTGTATGTATGTGTGTGTATGTATGTGTGTGTGTATGTATTAATGTGTAGGTAACCTTTAAACATTTATTTTAAAAATGTATTATTTCAATAATTCAATAATTGATTCAATATTTAACATATATATATATATATATATATCTATTTCAATAATATATTAGATTACTATTCATTAAAATAAAATCAWTTTTTTTGTTGTTACTTAACTTAAGTATATGTATAGATATATATATATATATATATATGTAATTTTAATAACTATTTAATTACTAATCATAACATTTTTGATTATTATGTAAAAAAAATAATTACATTAATATAATTTTTCAATATATAATTAGCGGTACTATTGATGTGTGAAATATATTTCAGTCAAATATATATATATAATGTAATTATAATATATAAGTGTTTTATATATTTTTCTGTTATCATTAGTTTTTAATTTTTATTTATATCTTATATTTTATACAAATATATAGTTTGAATATAATTTTAGGATTATATTGTCTTAATATTGAAATATATATCAACAAAAAAAAGCAAAACAAAAAATCTATTAAATTAGTAAAAATTAATAGTAATAATAATAACCTTGATTTTTAATATTTACTATAAAAATAATTAATTATTTATTTTATTTATAATAATTATAAACTATTTAATTAAATGTTTAAAAAAAATTTTAGTCAAATTTATTTTCAAAATAAAAAAATATTTTAGTGTTTAATAACAACAATATTAACAGATATTATATGTTATGCGGATATTATTGATAAAAAATTTTTATATAAATTTTTTAAATATCAATTAATTGATAGATAATACCGTATATACTGTATGTCTATCAGTTAGTTCAATACTATATTACTAGAAAATAAGGTAATACCTATTTATTATTGTTAGGTATGTGCTCTAAACTATACGTTATACTAAAAAACTAGGATAGATAAGCAATATATGACATATTTAAAATAAAATGTGTGAAAATAAATAACTTTATCACTAATAGTAATATCACTAATAATATATATATATTGTATCAAGCAACAACAACAAAAATCAATAAATTATTATTATTACTATTTATTTTTTAAAAATTATTTTTATTATTTAGCTATAGTCTAAAAAAATAATATTATTATAATTATCTTAGTTTTCGATAGTTATTTAGTTATTAAGTTATATATTATATTATAATTTATATATAAAACAAATATGATATATATATATATATTGTAATTATTATATGACAAAAAAAACTAATAATAATAATAATAATTAGAAATTTTTATATTATTTTTTTGTTGTTGTTGAATGTCATGTCAATTATAATAACTATATATACAGTATATATCAATATATCATATCTGTATATAAAATATAAAATTATTATTATTATTATTATATATATAGACTTAATATTGATATTAATATTACTAAACTGATAGTAAAAAGTGACACAATTTTCAATATTGATTACAGAAATCTTTATATATATATATTATTTATTTTGCTGTCAAATCATATCTAAATAATAAAAATAATAAAAAACACTTATATAGAAGTTATAACTAAAAAAATTAGTCATTTAATTATTATAATAATAATAACAGTTTTAAAAAAACAAACAAAATTAAAGTATAATACAAATATTATTATACAAATAATTTTTAGAAAAATAAAATAATAATTTTTTAGAAAAATACAAACAAATATTTTATTACAATATTAGAAATTAATTAGAAATTTTTAAAAATATATATATATTTGACATTTAATAATATAATAATACAATATAATTATTATTACAATATATAGTATACGATAGTTATGTTAACAAAATTAATTAAATTTTATTTTTATAAATTAAATACCATAAATAACATTTATTTAATTTTTTATTATTAATTGATATATCAATTAAAAAATTATGGCAAAAAAATTGTTGTATTAATTAGTTAACTAAACATTTTTTTAAAAATTAATTTTTTCAATTTATACAATAATGTAATAATTATAATAATAATAATTATTTTACATTAATAAATAACTAAAAAAATTATATAAAATTACAATATTTTAGCAAATTTAGATAAACCTTAATCAACAACAAAAATTATTATTATTATTATTATTTGTAAAACACTACTGAAATATAAAAAAATTTAATAATAATTTAAAAATCTATATATTAATTAATTAATTAATTAATTAATACATTATTCATAAACTATATATAAAAAACATTTTTTTTAAAAATGCAAACAAACAAACAAAAACTAATACTAATTAACTAATAAATTATAAATTACATTAAGTTTATTATTAAAAATTGTTTTTTATTAACTCAATTATTTATTTTAACTAATAATAATAATAAAATCATTTTAATTAAATTATTTATTTATTTAATTAATTTTACTACTAATAATAAAATCATTTATTTAAAATCAATAATTTATATAATTATTTAATTTTACTAATAAAATCAATTTTAAAACAATTATTTATTTATCTATTTTCTTAACTAATAATAATAATAATAAAAAAATCATTTTTAAAAAAATCAATTATTTAATTAATTTTTTTACTAATAATAATAATAAAATCATTTTTAAAAAAAATCAATTATTTAATTAATTAATTAATTTTTTTACTAATAATAATAATAAAATCATTTTTTAAAAAAATCAATTATTTAATTAATTAATTAATTTTTTTATTAATAATAATAATAAAATCATTTTTTTCAAAAATCAATTATTTAATTAATAATTTAATTTTTTACTAATAATAATAATAATAAAATCATTTTTTTCAAAAATCAATTATTTATTCAATTATTTAATTTATTTTTTCTTAATTATTATTATTATTAGACCTAAACGTCAATCGGAGGAACTGAAAGCCTGGGACCGGTTTAAGACAATACCGCCGCCGGATGACGACGAAACCCTATCGGGTGAATGGCTTGAAATCATTATCAAATGGTTCAAAGTTTTTGCCTATTTTTTTACATTTGTCGTAACCCTGGGGTTTGCAGTCATCAGCAAGTCGTTCATCCTATTGATGACATCGATGATCAAAGTTAACCGTACGATCCCATTGTGTAACGAGGACGGGGGTATCTATCAAATTGAACCACCCCTGGACCGGGATAAACGTTATACAACTATCTATGCTATTGACGACCCGGAGAGGATAGCCTGGTTATGGACCCTATTTTTTGCTACCATTACCCCCGAGTTGTTTGTATGGGGTCGTAGTGCCCGTATATGCTATTTCAAGACCTATAAGATACCCGAGTGGCGGACATTTTTAACGGTAATTATTATTATTAGTATTATTATTATTATTATTAGTATTATTATTATTAGTATTATTATTATTAGTATTATTATTATTATTAGTATTAGTATTATTATTATTAGTATTATTATTAGTATTAGTATTATTATTAGTATTATTATTATTATTATTAGTATTATTATTATTATTATTATTATTATTATTATTATTAKTATTATTATTATTATTATTAGTATTATTATTAGTATTATTATTAGTATTATTATTATTAGTATTATTAGTATTATTATTAGTATTAGTATTATTATTATTATTATTATTATTATTATTATTATTTGTTTGTCTGTTAAAAACCTAACAAATAATAATTTGTTTAAATTTTTTTTGGAAATAATTTTGTTTTTAAACTAAATGTTATATAATTTATTTAGTTATGATTTTATTTGTGTTTTTTATTGTTTGTGTAATGATTTAATTTATTTTACATTTTTAGTTGATTTAATGTTTTTTTTAATATACATTGCAAAATTAGTTTAGTGTAAATGTTTTGTAGTTTTTTTTGTGTATAATTTTTTTTATTTTAGTATTCATAAAATATTTTGTAAAACAAATCGTAACATTTATTTTTGGTCTAAAAAATATACTGTAAATTACTATTATTTCTAATAATTTATTTTCATAGATGTTATGTTAGTTTAATATTTTTGTTTAAAAAAAAGTTTTTACAAAAATTTTTACAATATTTTAATGTTTTTCTATATATTTATAGAAATATTTGTAAAAATCAATTTAAATATCTAAATATATATATATATATATATATATATATATATAATACCAGCAATACATTAGTTACAATACAATTATCATTAACTCATTGATCTCTATCTATCCATACATTTAACATTACTATACTTACCTACCATTCCCTCCCTCCCTCCCTCCCAACACCCTATTCCTCAAAACAATTTATATCTATATTTTTTAGATCAATAATATAAATCTAAATACTATCCTATAGTCTTATTTTTTATATATTTAAATAGTTATATAACATAATAGACATTATTAACTGTGATCTATACATTTATGATACATAACTAACCTCCCATTCCTCCCCCACACATACCTATACAGGTATTTACAACCGAAACGTTCAACGCAATCGGCATATCACTGCTAATCTTCCTAATACTACCTACCATTGACTCGATCAAAGGTGCTATGATAACCAATAGTATATGTTTGATACCCGGGCTACTATTACTACTATCGACTGTCCAGGACAATGATAAACTACTAAACCGTATACTAACCCTACTGGCCTGTTGTTTCCAGTTTGCTGGGCTAATAGTCTGGCCAATTATCGTCCATGATGACGGCTCACGTATGTACTGGTATCTGCCCCTAGCCTTGATCATGGTATCGTTTACTTGGTGGGAAAATTATGTAGATCCCGGTGCCCGGCTAAAACCATCGGCTAATATAGTATCCAAATGGCTGGACCAGTGCCGGCAAGATCTGGCCCGTAGTCGTTATTTTACATACCTGATCGTATCACTATGGAAATGTTTGGTCATCCTATCGATGATGATCCTAATTGAATACCTGAACGAGGATACGGCTACTGTGGGTACAATGTTTAGCCGATTTGGTGAAGCCTATCGTAACTACGATATAGCTATCATCCGTGATAAGTCCCAGTTTGAACACCAGACCCCGATGGACGGTGACGATCATATTATGTCGATATCCGATCCGTATGTACCCGTTTGGGTACTGCTCGTCCAGATTACGGCCAGCTATATGTGCTACGCTGTCGGCAAGTTTTCGTGTAAAATTTGTATACAGGGTGTATCGTTTGCCATACCCGTCAATATGGCCGTACCGTTTACGGTGTCGTTTCTATGGGCAATGGTATCGGCAGCCGGTGAGGACAAGTGTCAGGTATGTGTATGTCATGTATATATATATATATATACTGTATTTAGTATATGATGTGAAATATATATATATATATATATATATATTTATTATTATTAAATATTTAATATAATATTTGTGATAATAATTATTATTATTTTTTTTAATTCTAAAAACAAATCATATATCAAATAAATAGATATCACAAAAAAATATTATTATTAGATTTATATAATAATTATATTGTTATTTTTGTGGCTATACTTTTTGTTTGGAAAAATTAATAAAATAATAATTATGTTTAGAAAATAATAAATAAATAATAATTATGTTTAGAAAATAATAAATAAATAATAATTATGTTTAGAAAATAATAAATAAATAATAATTATTTTATTAGTTAGTTATACTGTAATTAGTAAGTGTTGCTGAATCTAAAAAATTTATAATTAATTATAAAAAATTTATTATTTAATTAATTAATTAGATTCAAAAAATTATAGAAAAAAATATTTATTTCAATTATGATATAAATAATAATTAATTATTAAATTAATTTTTTAAATATATATATATTTAACTAAATTAAAAAATTTTATTACAAAAATTTATTATTAATTAATTAATTAGATTCAAAAAATATAAAAAAATATTTATTTCAATTATGATATAAATAATAATTAATTATTAAATTAATTTTTTAAATATATATATATATATTTAACTAAATTAAAAATTTTTATTACAAAAATTTATTATTAATTAATTAGATTCAACAAAAAAATATAGAAAATAAATATATATTTATTTGAAATTATTATATAAATAATAATTAATTATTAATTTTTTTTAAATATATATCTAATACTATACAATAGATATGCAACTTTTGGCCCGGTTTTCAATACGTATTCTGGTATACCCGCGAAGTCGACGTTTTCGCCTACAATGAAAACGCCTACAACTATGTCAACACATTCATGTGGATCCTATCCCTGGCCTCCCAAATGTGGATAGCCATACATATATGGTTTTCCACTAGTGAACGACTGGCCTCAACGGAAAAACTATTTATAATACCAATGTATAGCTCCATATGTATCGATCAGTCGCTGGCTATGAACAGGCGTCGACTGAACGTTATGGACGATCCGCTGCCAGTGCCCGCCGATAAAGATGGCCAACCCCTGGAAACGGCTGAGGAGGCACTGATGACTAACACTGCCATCAATGCCAGTGCACCGACATTTGATAGCATACAACAACAGCGCCAAATGGATCATATGTACGAATCGGTTACCGAACCGATGGCCGGCCTATCGGCTGCAGCTAACGGTGCGGGAGGAGGAGGAGGAGGAGGAGGACTGGTAGTTAGCAAACCAGATGAAACCGTAACCATCTATGTTTGTACCACTATGTGGCACGAATCCAAAGATGAGATGATACAGACGCTGAAAGCAGTGATCCGATTGGATGCCGACCAATGCGCCCGAAAGACGGCCCAAGAATTTTTCCAATTGAATCCCAGTCTAACTGATTACTATGAAATTGAATGTAAGTCTACCTAATAGTTAGCTCTCTCTGACTCTCTCTGACTCTCTCTGACTCTCTCTGACTCTCTCTGACTCTCTCTGACTCTCATAATAATAATAATAATATAATTTATATACTCTTTTAAAATCACAAAACTTTTTTTTTGTGTATGTAATCTTAAATAAATATATATTTGGATTTCTAGCATAGGATTAGTTTAAATTGTTATTCAATTAATCTCTCTCTCTCTCTCTCTCTCTCTCTCTCTATATATATATATATATATATATATATATATTGATAATTAATTTTTTTATAGTAGTATTTGTAAATCATTTTAGTTTGATTTGAATATTTTTTTTTATATATAAACAAAATTAACCTAAAAAATAATAATTTAAATTATACCGATATAAAGTTATAGTATATATATATATATATATATTTCAAAAAAAATAATTTTATAAATATTAGCTACCTAAATTTATTATTTTATAAATTTTTTAAAAATTATTATATTAAGATTTTTAACTTTCTATAATTATATTATAACTTTATTTTTTCAATTAACCTATTTACCTATACCTATCTTATTTTATCATTGGGTGGCACTGGTAGTCAACATATTTTTTGACGACGCCTTCGATCAGGGAGTTTCGGATGACGAAGACGATCGGGTAGTCAACCGATTTGTCCGTCAGTTGGTCGAAACAATGGACGAAGCGGCCAGTTATGTACACGAAACTATTATACAGCTACAGAAGCCCAATGTTGTGCCGACACCATATGGTGGTAAATTGGAGTGGACACTACCGGGCCAAAATAAATTGATTGCCCACTTGAAAGATAAGATATTGATTAGGCATAGAAAACGTTGGTCACAGGTATGCAATTAATTTAATAACACATGGGGTGTGTGTGTGGGGGGGTGGGGTGTGTGTATAGGCTGACCGTATAGGGTGTAGGTGTCAAGGGTTGGGGGTGGTTGAGTGCTATCTATTTATTATATATATAAATATATATGCATAACCAACAAAAACAATATATATATATATATTTAATTAATAAAAAAAATTAATAAAATATATTTTATTTTAATTTTCTAAAAAATAGATTTTTATTATATTAAATATATTTGAATAGTTTTTTATTATAATAATAATAATAATAATTAGATATTAATTTATATAATATAGAAACTAAATTTTAAAAACAAAATTTATTATTAATTTAAATATAAAAAAATTAATTTTAATTATTTAAAAAATATTTTTTTTTAAAAATTAATATTAGACTAGAAATTAGAAATTAATAATTAGTAGTTTATATAGTTGCACACCCACCACACCCACCCTACTAGTAGTAAATCATTATTATTTTAAAAAATACAATTACTTATATCTAATATTTATTTTCATATACCTACCTGTCCAYACACTAGTGTATGTACATGTACTACCTGTTAGGCTATCGTTTGGCTGCCAAACCAATGGACGAACGACGCAAAGAAACCATTGCTATGAATACGTTTATACTGGCATTGGATGGTGACATCAACTTTAGGCCGACCGCACTCAACCTAGTTGTAGATTTGATGAAAAAAAATAAAAAATTGGGCGCCGCCTGCGGACGTATACATCCGATAGGACCGGGACCTATGGTCTGGTATCAGGTTTGTTGAAAATATATATATATATATATAGTTAAATATAATATAGATGCCCATCCCCACCCCCTATCGCCACACACATATACCTGTATAGTATATAACATATTTTAGTTCAACCCCTACCTACTATACAAACATTTATACATTATATTTGACCTTGACCTTGTAATTGTGGGGGTGGGATCATATTTTATTGAATAAGATTTTTTTTTTGATAATTTAATTTTTATTTAATATATTAATTAAATATCGATTTTTCAATATATCAATAAATTATATACAGTATATATATATATATATATATAAATTAATAATCATATTATTGATTTAATTTCAATATTTAGTCAATTTATTTATTATTAATAATATTATTATTATTATTTTATACCAAATTAACTAAAATTATAATTATCTATAATATCTAATAATAAATATTAAATATATTACAGAAATTATTATTATTTTGTTTTTGAAAAAAATCATATAATTTATGTCATATTTTAATTTTTTTCGAAATAATTTTTCGGGTCCCGACCCCCTCCCCCTCTATCCACCCCTACTCTAGAAATTTGAGTACGCAATCGGCCATTGGCTACAAAAAGCAACCGAACACGTGTTCGGGTGTGTACTGTGCAGTCCCGGCTGTTTCTCACTATTCAGAGCCCGGGCTGTTATGGACGACAGTGTTATGAATAAGTATACGACTAAACCATCCGAAGCCCTGCATTACGTACAGTACGATCAGGGAGAGGACCGATGGTTGTGTACATTGTTGCTGCAACAGGGCTGGTATGTATGACTAAAAAAATATGTTGCCTACACATACATAAGTACACAATCACACAAACATACATACATATACACAGATACATAAACACATACATAAACACATACACACACACATACACACATACACACATACACACATACACATACATAAACACATACACACATACACACATACACATACATAAACACATACACACATACACACAGATACATACATAAACACATAAACATAGATCTATAAACACAAACTATTTTATAAATACATGAAAAACTAATATAAATTTAATATAACTTTTTCACTTATTCCTAAAAACCCTACCCACCCCACTACCGCACCCACACCACCATCTAAAAACTACAGGCGCATTGAATACTGTGCCGCTAGTGATTCCTATACACACGCACCGGAAGGTTTCGGTGAATTCTATACACAACGACGCCGTTGGGCACCGTCAACAATGGCCAACATTATGGACCTATTGGGCGACTACAAGCGTACGGTTGCCGTCAACAATGACATATCCAAACTGTATATCCTTTATCAGGCTATGATGATGATCGGTACGGTATTAAGTCCGGGTACCATATTTTTGATGGTTGTCGGCGCTGTCAACACTGTATTAGGTATAACATGTGATATATAAATACATTATAAAATAAATAAATAAATTAATTAATTATAATTTTAACAAGGTGCTAATATAATTAAATTGATAAATAGTTATTTATTTAATTTAAGAAAAAAAATTATTATATTCCTAATAATTATTATTTTAAATTTTTAAATTAATAATTTATTATTGGTTTTTTATTTTGTATTTTTTTGATTTATTAATTGATTAAAGTTATAGACATATAGTTATATAATATAAAATAAATAATAATTAATATAATGATTTCAATTATATATTTGTTTGTTTGTTTACTTACTTAACCCATACCTAAATTTATATATATATATATTTTTTCTTTAAAATTAATTGAAATCAATATATTAATTATTATTATTATTTTCTATAATAAACTAATTAATGTGTGATAAAACTCTAATCAATTAATAATCATAACAACAAAAAATTAAATAAATAAAACTAATACTAACTTATAATTTAGTTTACAATAATAATTAACGTTATAATTATATTAAAAAAAATAAATTAAATTAAATAACTATTTATTTTTTTATAATTTTTTGTTGTTGTTTAAATAATATAACTAACAATTTATTGTTTATATATCTAATTTTTGTTGCATATATATATATTAAACTATATAATTTATTTTAGGACTAACCAGTACTGTATCGATTGTAGTCAATGTAATACCGGTGCTGCTGTTTTCAATCGTATGTATGACAGTCAAAAAAAATGATCACATAATCTTCCTGGCAATGATACTGTCGACTATCTATGCACTGGTAATGTTGGCCGTCTATGTYGGGATATGTATAGATATGTTTCAGAAAACTATATTCACACCAAACTCCATGTTTTTTCTGGGACTAATGGGATCGTTTGTTATAGCAGCCATTATACATCCACAGGTATGTCTATGTSTRTGTGTGTGTGTGTRTGTGTGTGTATGTGTGTGTATGTGTGTGTATGTGTGTGTATGTGTGTGTATGTGTGGGATGTGTGTGATGTGTGAATATGTGTGTTATGTGTGTGGATGTGTGTCATGTGTGTTTGTGTGGTTTTGTGTGTGTGTTAAGTGTGTGTGTGTATGTGTGGATGTGTGTGATGTGTGTGATGTGTGTGTATGTGTGTGTATGTGTGTGATGTATGTTATTATATTATAATTGTATGTGTGTGTAATTATATATACTGTGTGTGTATATATATATATATTATGTGTATATTATGTGTTTATGTGTGTTTTGTGTGTTTGTGTGTTTTGTGTGTGTATGTGTGTGTATGTGTGTGTGGGAGGTGTGTATGTGTGTTATGGTGTGACAGTTGCGTTTGTGTGTTTATTAGTTTGTGTGTGTGTGTGTGGGGTTTGTGTGTAATTATTAATATTAATAGGATATATATATATATATATATATTAGTTAATTATTAATTAACTAATTATTTAATAATTAATTCAAAAATTACAATTTGATGATAAATATGTTATTAAAGTTATAGTTATTAAATACTATTTATATTTTTAAAAAAAATATTATTTTCTTATAAATTAAAAAAAACTAAAAGTTAAATATTAAAAACCGATAATATTTTTTTTTTATAATTAATTAAATAAATTAAATTAAATTATACAAAAAAAAATAACAAATTCTATACATTTATATAATGATTTTATTTTTACAAATATCAAAAAATTTTCCAAACAATTATTATTAATACAATTTTTATTATTTATTTTTTTCTCAATCAACTCCCTGTTCCCAACCCAACAACACCATCAAAAAAAACTACAGGAGTTTAGTTGTGTCATACCGTTACCATTGTATATGTTACTGATACCCAGTATGTATCTACTGTTGACCATCTATTCGGTAACCAATATGCATATAGTATCGTGGGGTACACGTGAGGTCAAGTCCAAGTTGACGGCCAAAGAGGCCCAACAAGCGGCCGAAGCAGCGGCCGAGGCCGAAGCGGCCAAAGCTAAAAAGAAAAATATGTTAGGTTTCCTTAATTTGTCACAACTGGGTGGCGGCGGTGGCCGCGGATCGGGTGGTATCCTAACATGTATGTGCTGTTCAAGTCAGCGATCCGATGAGGAATCGGCTAAACTAACGGAAATCAGGGAACAGTTAACCCGAATGTCCGAATCGGTTACCGTAATCAAGACACAGGTAACCACTGCCGATCAATCGGAACAGTATAGCCTATCGGGTGGTAGACGTAATACCCTGACATCCATTAGACGACAATCATCGACAAACCGGGCACATGTAGATCGTATGATGGATGCAGGAGGACAGGGAGGTGGCGGTGGAGGAGGAGGACTGTCTACTATAGAAGCGGGTGATACTGAAGATGAAACTAGCGACAGGTCGTCAATGGATTCGATGGGTAGTCAAGAAACTGGTGGTCCAGGCGGTGGTGTCCGATCGGGTGCACCATCAATAGCCGAATCTAAAATGGGTGCCAAGTTGCCCCGTTGGGTCGGGGATAAAACATTCAAAAAATTTCCTATAGTTCCCCTCGAAGATGATGAACTAGATTTTTGGCAAACATTTATACCGAAATATTTGCTACCCCTGGATGAAAATCCTAAAGAACAGGCACGTATAGCATCGGATTTGCGGGAACTCCGTAATAAAATGGTGTTTGCATTTGCTATTATCAATACCCTGTTTATCCTATTTGTCCTATTGTTACAAATGCACCCGGATGTATTTAATTTTGAAATTAAAACCGGTATCGATCACTGGAATATTACCGGGTATAATGAGAAGGAAGATAAATACGATAAGGAACCGGTTTATCATTATATTAAAATGGATCCGATAGGTAGGTGTGCCCATTGAATGTGTGGTGTGTGTGGGTGTGTGTAGATGTAGGTATGAGTGGTGGTGGTGTTTAGATTTTTGAGTTTAAATGTTGGTTGTTATTATGAGGATAGGGTTAGATGGTTACGTTAGGTTAGGTTAGATGGTTAGGTTAGGTTAGATGGTTACGTTAGGTTAGGTTAGATGGTTAGGTTAGGTTAGATGGTTACGTTAGGTTAGGTTAGGTTAGGTTAGATGGTTACGTTAGGTTAGGTTAGATGGTTACGTTAGGTTAGATGGTTAAGTTAGGTTAGGTTAGATGGTTATATATATATATATATATATAAGTTAGGTTAGGTTAGATGGTTAGGTTAGGTTAGATGGTTACGTTAGGTTAGGTTAGGTTAGGTTAGATGGTTACGTTAGGTTAGGTTAGATGGTTACGTTAGGTTAGATGGTTAATAGGTATAGGTTAGATGGTTACGTTAGGTTATATATATATATATAGATGGTTACGTTAGGTTAGATGGTTACGTTAGGTTAGGTTAGATGGTTACGTTAGGTTAGATGGTTAAGTTAGGTTAGGTTAGATGGTTACGTTAGGTTAGGTTAGGTTAGATGGTTACGTTAGGTTAGGTTAGATGGTTACGTTAGGTTAGATGGTTAAGTTAGGTTAGGTTAGGTTAGGTTAGATGGTTAGGTTATGTTAGGTTAGATAGATAGTTATATTGTATCTATATATATACTGTATAAATATAATATATTATATATACACTGTATATAAACAAAAATAATTAAAATTATATAATTAATTTTTTTGATAATTAAAAAATTTTAATAAATTATAATAAACTATAATATAATACCGATATATATATATATAGATATATATCTAAAACAAAAATTTATTTACATATTACTAACTAATCACTCACTTACTCACCCTATCCCTCCCCCTCCTCTCCCCTCCTATTAGGTCTAGTATTGGTAGCATTTTTCGGCATAATTCTGGTCATCCAATTGATCGGTATGTTTATGCACCGGTTCGGTACACTCGCCCATCTGCTGGCCTTCACTAACATCGACTTCTGCCAGAAAGGGACGGCCGGTGGCAATGAAGACGACGACGCTATCATTGACAAGAATATTGTCCAAATAACCAAACAGCTACAGAAGCTGAAAGGTTTGGACGATATGGACGACCAGAATACAGTGGTCCTGAGTTCGGATAATCTGCCAAACAATCGTAAGTCTATGTTCGGAAACCGCAGGTCCAGAGCCCTGTCCAACATAATCTGGATCACGCTTTTCGTACACGACTGATGAGTCTGAGGCCCGATAGCACCGGTATGTACTGTATGACCACATATTACTTGTGGTATTACTATACACTATTTAATACATACACTATTTATCCCCCCCSCCCCCCCCCCGACTAATACCGACTAATACTAGTAGTACTTTAACTAATACACACATATATCAGGTGGGGTTTGGGGGGGGGGGGGTTGCGAAAGGTTTTCCATATCAGGGGCTAGGGTATGGGGGGGTAAATTAACAATAATCTTGACTATGAGTTTGGTGACTATGAGGGGGGGGGTTATAGGAGGTGGGGTTAACAATTTTTTAGTGTGCGCATTTTTAAACGACCCAATTTTTTTTTTGTCAAATTTTAGTAAATTTCACATTAAATTCTCAGTAAATTCCCAGTAAATTACCAGTAAATTCCTAAATAAATTCCTAATAAATTCTCAGTAAATTTCCATTATATTATCACTAAATTCCCAATAAATTCCGTAATAAATTCCCAATAAATTCCCAATAAATTCCCATTATATTCTCAATAAATTCCTAATAAATCCTCAGTAAACTACCAGTAAATTGCCAGTAAATTCCCTAATAAATTACCTATAAATTCCTAATAAATTAACAATAAATTAACAATAAATTCCCTACCACCCACCCCCTCATTTCGCAACACTGGTATAGATTGACTATATTTGTAAAACCTAATACTTGTACTTAACTAATACACACACATAATATATATACTGTATATATACCTATTATCCCTACCCCTACCTACCCGTATAGATGCCACCCAAAAGTCGATACTCCGGCGCCAGAGTACTGTCCAGGCGTTACGCAAACGTCGCGATACTATTGTTATGGAAAATCATCGCCGTATGAGTAGACAGTCCTCACAGATATCGTTGACCGCCGCCGAACAAAACGAGTCGTCTATCGGCTCCAGTCATAGGCCACTGTCGTGGTTGCCGTCGGGCAGCAGTGGTGGTGGCGGTGGTGGTAGTAGTCAACTACCCATACGTTTGCAACCGGTTCCCGGCAGCACCGGTAGCTCATTGAGTGGTCTACCGACGCCTCAACATCTATACAGGCCTTAGTCAACAAACAAACAAATAAAAAATTATTTAAAAAAAATAAATAATTTAGTGATAAAAACAATTTTTTAAAAAAAATAATTAATATAAATTTTAATGAATTATTATTATTTAAAAATATATATATATTTAAAGTCATAATTTACATGTGTTTTAATTTTTTTGAATCAAAATGTTTTAATAATTTTTAACAAATTTTATTTATATAATTAATTTAAGCAATTTTTTTGTATTATTATTATAAAAATAATGATTTTGAGTTTTAATGTTTTTAATTAATTAATTATGATATTTAATTTTTGTTTGTATGTATTACTAAATAATAATAATAATAATAAAATAATATTTAATTTGTTTATTTAATTTTCAAGTTTTTTTTAATGTTACAAAAATTATTAATTTCTAACAATTGATATTTATTTTAGTTTATTTTTTTGTTGTTTTAATTTATAACTATATAATTAATAATCATTTTTTCCCCATAATATCATACATGTAATGGTCGACAACAACAACACGTGATGAACACGTGAACTATACACACATGTGTGCCGACTATTGACTTATTAATAGTTTTTTTTTAAATAAATAAATAATAATATCTTTTTTAAAAAAATTGATTTCACTTTTATGTTGAAATTTAATTATTTTATTTTATTTAATAAAAATCAAGTATATATATATATATAAAATACTTATAAAATATTATATAAAATTAATAATAATAAATAATTTTTATATGATATTAAATTAATTAATTATATTTTAATTTCATATATGTTTTTATGAATATTAAATAAATTAAATTTTATTTGATTTTTTAAAATAATTTTTTTGATGATAAACATGTCGAATATTTATTCAGTCAAATAATTATTTAAAAAAATAATAGTTAATAATAATATACAAAAAAAATAATGATTTATAAGATAGTTTAAAAAAATATTTTTTTTCATAAAAAAAATTCAAACACACTTATTATCAAAATTATTATAATTTTTACAATTTTAAAAAAATGTAATCACAATTATTATTTTTTTTAAAAAAGATATATTATTATTTGTATAATTAATAGTTGAGTATTATATATATATATCAACAACAAAAATATTTACAAAAATATTAATAATAATAAATTAAAACAAAAATAATTTACATTGAAATAGTAATACTATTTTTTCAAAATATATATATATATAAAAGGGGTTTTCATATATTTAGCACATGCGGTTTTTGCTATAATTCTTAAATGGTGTGAGATATATTAATTTTGTAAAAAATGTATTAAAATATGATTTACGCGTGATATTATAAAACATTAAATTTTTAATTTTGATCTCGTGATCATATTTATTTTGGGATGTTTGCAAACCACTATGTCAGAACCTAATCTATAAATGATAGAATAAAATTTCAATTATATTTTTGTAAAGCTTACATTGAAAATTTATGGAAAGAAAGAATTTTTAAAATTGGTCGAAGAATAAAATTTTTATGGTTTTTCAAACTTGTGGAATAACACATTATATAAAATAGTCAAAAATAAAATGACGTTATTTATGGATAGTAGACACTAATTAGATAAAGATTTTAATACTATTACTTATTCTAAAAACAAAATTTTTTTATGTCGAATATTTTTTTAGATATTCAAATTACAATAAAAAGCACAACATAGTAATTCGATAATGTAATTTGTAATTAAATTTTATTATTTTAAAAAATATTCGTCATAAAAAAATTTGTTTTTAGAATAAGTAATAGTATAAAAGKCTTTATCTAATTAGTGTCTACTATCCATAAATAACGTCATTTTATTTTTGACTATTTTATATAATGTGTTATTCCACAAGTTTGAAAAACCATAAAAATTTTATTCTTCGACCAATTTAAAAAAAATTTTCTTTCCATAAATTTTCAATGTAAGCTTTACAAAAATATAATTGAAATTTTATTCTATCATTTATAGATTAGGTTCTGACATAGTGGTTTGCAAGCATCCCAAAATAAATATGATCACGTGATCAAAATTAAAAATTTAATATTTAATAATATCACGCGTAAATCATATATTAATACACTTTTTACAAAATTAATATATCTCACTCCGTTTAAGAATTATAGCAAAAACCGCATGTGCTAAATATATGAAAAACCCTTTTATATATTAATATATTAAACAAAAATAATTTATTAAAAAACATAATTTCAAATCAATTATTAATACTATAATTATTCAGTCATATAATAATAATAATAATAATTAATAAAAAACGATTGATTATAAAATACCCGCAAAAATCCTATTACTTACCAAACAAACAAACAGTCAATTTTTAAGACAACTGTCCAATAGTTGATGGTATTGACCGCCGAAACGGACTAAACGGCAACTCCGGTGTCGCCGATAATATACCACCGATTGGTCGACTGGTAATCACTTGTTGGTCACCAATTGGTGGAGTAGTAATCACTTGTTGTTGACAATCAATTGGTGAACTAGTAATCACTTGTTGGCCACCAATTGGTAGACTAGTAATCACTTGTTGGCCACCAATTGGTAGACTAGTAATCGCTTGTTGTTGTTGTTGGCCATCAATGTGTCCGCAATTATGGTCGTCAACCATCATCATCATCGCCAGTGACTGCCTGTAGTCGATAGCCTGTTTGATCTTATCTTGGATTATGGCTTCGGCTCGCAGGACATCATCCGTTGAGCCTATAATCTCAAACATCGCCCGAGGTTTCGGGTCAGTCGGGTCTACCGATGGGCTATTAATACGGGTATTGGTCCTGGATTTGAGTTGTACGACAAACGAACCGTTACGGCCAACTACTACACCGACCAGATCGTCGGGTACGCTAACCAATCGGCTAATCTCTCCCGGTTGGCATACATTAGTCCGACTGGCCATCTGTCGGGTAAATATATCGGCCGACAGCCGTATGGATTCGACAGCTACGGCAACCCGATCGGGATGACCGGCCACTTTGAATACGGGTTCGTCCAGTTTTGTTGGTGTCCAGATACGGGTCCGGGTTTGTTGGCGTAGATATCGGATTTTATGGCCACCCGTGCCGACAATCTGGGCTACGTGTTCGTTGCTCGGTACCCGTACTGGCCGTACAATTTCCAATTTACCGCCACTGCCACCGACGCCGCCATTACCGTTGTCACCCGTAGTATGCGGTATAGCCGTCAATACGTCTACCAAATGGTCGACCGATGTTGAGGTTGCGGTCGTTGTTGTTGTTTGTCGGTAGTGTTGACCAGAGTATTGTTGGTCTCGGGAATGGTTGCGGTTGTGATGGTAGTAGTAGTCGTGATTACCGTCGGGTATTGTTGTCAGATATGCGACCAATTTGTCGGTAAAATTGTTGTCCATTATTATTGAATTATATGTGAAACTTGAAAAAGAAAATAATTTATTACAATTATTATAATCACTTTATTATTATTAAAATTATTTTTTTTAAATTTAAAATTTTTGATATATATGTATATATTTTATAATATATTATCAGTGATAATGACTGTCCTCACCGATAGCTATGATATTAATAATCATTAATAATATTTCAATCAAAATCAATAAACTAAATGGTAACTTCACGTGAACTACCAGTGCAATCATATATATAGATATATATAATATATTAAAATATATATATTAACCGTACATCCGGTCATATACTGTATATTCAACTATTAATATATATATATATATATATATATATATATATATATATATATATTAGATATTTCATTAAATTTCAATGTTTTATTGCAATTGATTTCGACGACAACATGTGATATAAATTATATATATATATATATATTTGTCTATTAATTAAAATTTTAGGTTTTTTTAATTGTTAGATAAACGTATCAAAAAAAAATATTTATTAATCAAATGATTATTATAATTATTACAAAAAATTTATAGTTATTAACAAACAAACAACAAAATAATGATTTATAGATAGTTTAAAAACATAATATTTATATTTAAAAAAAATTAAAACACAATTAATACCATCATTATATATATGAAATAATTATATATATGAAAAATACTAAACAATTAATATATTTTAAATAATAATAATAAAAAACAAAAATAATTTACAATGAAATAGTAATACCATAACAAAAATTATATTAAAAAAAAAGTTTTTTAAAAAAACAAAACAATTTCAATACATTTATAATAACATAATAAAGTTATTATTTTTGAAAAAAATTTAATAATAATAATAATAATTATTAAGTAAATTATGAATTTATTAATCATATAAATCAAACAAATTACTGATTCAAAAAAAAATTACCACAAAATACATACTAATAGTCAAACAGTTGATCCAACAATAGTTTAGTTGTCGGCGACGGCAGTGTCGGTGACGACTGTTGTTGTTGTTGTTGTCGGTGATGGCGGGGGCGGCGACTGTCCATCTGTAGGCTAAATATATCGGCCGATCGTTGAATGGCTTCAACGGCTACCGAAACATTGTCCGGATGGCCGGTAACTTTGAATACCGGTTCGCTGGTTATACTGGGCGTACGTATACGGGTACGGGTTTGTAGTTGTAAATAACGGATCTTTTGGCCACTGGAGCCGACAATTTGGGCTACATGTTCGCTGGTCGGCACCCGTACTGTACCAGTAATTTCCAATGTGTCGTCAGCGCCCGGTATTGCGGTCAATACGTCTACTAAATAGTCGATACGCGGTGTCGGTGTCGGCAATAGACTCGGTGGTGGTCGCTGTTGACCATAGTATTGTTGTTGTTGCTGATGATGATGACTACCGACGGGAATTGTGGTCAAGTAGTCGACCATTTTGTTGTCCATAATGTTGTTATAGTTGTTGTTATCCATCTATTAATTGGTATTTAAATATATATATATATCGATGAAAACACAAAATACAATACAATAAGTTATATTGCAATAGTTATAATCACTTGATTATTATTATTATTATTATTAATTTAATTTATTATTTGTTTTTTATAAATTATTTTATTTTTTAAAAACTAAATTAAATTTATGATAATTATAATGACAATGACTGTCATAATAATCAAAAACAAAATAAAGTTAAGATATAAATGATTTTTATTTATTTATTTAATGTGAGGACAGTTAGCTATGGGTTGAACACGTGAACTATAAGTGCTATCAAACTGTGAATATATATACAGTATATCCGGTCATATATGATATATATATATATATATATTAAACTATTAATATATTTATTTTACTTTTTAGATATTTCATTAAATTTCAATAATTTCATGCAATTGATCTTATGATATACAAAATATTTATTTTTTTAAAAAACTTTATATATTGTTATATATATATTAACTAATAATAATAATAAATACAGAAAAAAAACTTCTAATAATTTTTTTTTGATAATATTGTAAATATTTTTTTTTATTTATAAATATAAAACAATTTAAATTAAATTAAATAAACAATTTGTTAATAACAATAATATTTCTAATATGCATTTATTTACTTATATATATATATATATTGAAAATTAAAATATTATTATTATAAGTATATAAATTTACATAATATATTTGAAAAATAATAATTGCAATAAAATAAAAATTAAATTAATTAATTAATTAATTAATAATTGCAATAAAACTAAATAAATTAATTAAAAAAAAATATTATATATATATATATATATACAATAGTTAGTAAATATTATACAATCAATTAGACAATAGCCAAACAATTATTATTATTATTATTATGGATAGCACTGGTAGTACTACTACTAATAGCACTGGTAGTAGTAGTGGTGGTAGTAGTGGTGTTGTCTAACTGTTTAGCTAACTGTTCCAACTCTTCCAGTACTAGTTCCGTCCGATGAACCTTATAGTTGACCAATTGATGATAGAAATTGTAGGCAAAAAATAGGAAGGCGCCGATAACGGGCAGCAATAGGATTGTCGACACTATGGCTACCCAACCCCTGTATAGATACCAAAATTTCACCCAAACAATGATAGTCAGCTCCAGTAGGAACAGGAATATACCGATAAATGTCGAGAAAAACCAGGCAATAGAGGTATAGTGTTTCATCTTTCGATGTGGCGACTCATCGTAGGCTACCTGAGCCGTGTAGTAGGTGTGGGTATGAAAATTATAGAGAAAAAAAATTTAAAAAAAATAATAATTGAAAAATTTGTCAAAAAAAAAGTTTTTATATATAAAACATATTTCTAACTAATGATTACTAATTTTGTTATATAATAATACATTATTAATTAGTATTGTTTTTACTGTAAATTATTAATTAATTAAATTAAATTAATTATTAAAATTATTATTATTATTATTAATTAGTATTGTTTTTACTGTAAATTATTAATTAATTAAATTAAATTAATTAATTAAAATTATTATTATTAATTAGTATTGTTTTTACTGTAAATTATTAATTAATTAAATTAAATTAATTAATTAAAATTATTATTATCAATTAGTATTTTTTACTGTAAATTATTTATTAATTAGATTAAATTATTCAATAATAATTATTAAGTGTATATTGTATAGTAATATTGTGTCCTATTATTATTATTATTATTATTATAAATATATAGTAGTATTACAATAGCTAAAGATATCGGTGGGTGGGTGGGGTTTGGGGATCCCCACCATAAGGTATTATATAACAATCAAAGGTTAGTTAAATTTATATACAAAATTAATTTATCAGGGAAACTTTTCCCAATTTGACCCCCTCCCATATCTACCTGAGCTCCGCCACCATCATCACCATCACCACTATCACCCATACTGGCCACTGCATCGATATGGGGTAGTATACACGTTGATATCATCAAGGCTAACATATGTACCGATACTAGTAGTGTAGTAACTATTATGAACGTCAATAGTAGAGCAAACGGTACTTTATTGGGACCATCAGTTTTGACATCCATTTCCACCATAGCTACCTGTTTTCAATTTTTTGGTGATGGTTAGGTATGGCATATATATATATATATATATATACAGATATATAAATGACTTACTAATGCAAACCCAGATAACAGGGCCGACACTTGCGATGATTGTTTGAGTTTAGATCGGCTTAAGTGTAGATTTTTTATATCAAAATAGACGGCCGACGATCTCAACATTTTGACCTTTGACCTCATGATGTTAACATAGTTGTCATCATCGATGGTATACTAATAATCACTAATAATAATAATAATAATACACTTTGTTGTTGTTGTTGTTGTTGTTGTTTGTAAAACATATTGTTTATATATATATATATATATATAATTTAATAATAATAATAACTTTTTTACAATATATAACCAATTAATTGTGTTTTAATAACTTTTAAATAAATATTTTTTATTTGATGATAGTTTTGATGTTTAAAATAACTTCAATGATGTTAATTAACATTCAAAAATATATTATTATTATTATTATTTAATTAAATAAAAACATTATTATCATATGATATATATATATATCAATATATACAGTATATATATTATAATATATTAATAGCAATGATTGTGTATAAAACATAAAATATTATATTTTTAATAATATCAATATAATTATTATATGTATTATTATTTTTAGTAATTAGTAATTATTATATATATTGTAATACATATATTTAAAAAATTGTCGTTTAATTTTGCACAACAATTACACACATATATTATTGTAGATTTTAGTTGAGATACAAAACTAATTGTTTTAATAATAATAACTAAAATATATATATAAAAAAAGTCAACTATAAAAATGTGTCGCCGTTTTGGTTGCCATTTATATATACAGTATATATAATATGACAGAAATATAAGGTATTATTAATTAGATATAATTTTTTTTAAATATTTATTTAGTATATAATATTAAATATATATATATAACTGAAAATGATTTATGACATGACTATGCATTGCTTATATATATACATGTTTTGACAAATGATAGTCAAATTTATATATATATATATATATATATATAAACAGTATATATGTTATTAAATGTTATTAAATGGAAAATTTCAATGAAAAATTTACTAATAATAATAATAATAATAATAATAATAATAATAATAATAAATTATATATCAATATATTTAGTATTATAACTTTATTTATATATATTTATATAATCACATATACACTCTCAACAAAAAAAAATATTTAGCATTGAATTTATTATTGAATGTATTGTTTGCATATAACTTATATATATATATATATATATATATATAACTTAACACATCATAAATTATTATTATTATTATTTTAAGTGGTAGTAGTAGTAGTAGTAGTAGTAGTAGTAATAGTTTTACACATGTTTTATAATAAAAAAATTACAAACATTTATATATTAATAGGAGATATACAGTAACAATGGTTAGCAAACTATTAGTATAAAAAAAATTAAATATTGAAAAAAATAAACTTTCAAAACTATTTATAAATTTAATTATTATTATTATTATTATTAGTTATTAAACTTATATATTAATGACAACCAAAACTGACACCCAGTTAGTTGAACACTGATTGACTGACTGACTGACTGTCCCCTAGTATTTAATATCACATTAACTACCGTCACATTTATATATAAAAGTCAACTGTGCTCTCTCTCTCTCTCTCTCTCTCTCTCTCTCTCTCTCTCTCTCTCTCTCTCTCAACAAGGATCTGGTAATTACTAATAAATAGCAAAAATCATTCAATTATTTGCTATATTTTGTTACACAACTGATGTCTAACACTGATATGTCTATTAAAACTACAGTAAAGTATAATAAATACTAATAATTATAATGTAATACTGTATGTGTTTTCCAATGACAAACATATACAATATATATATATATATATATATATATATATATATAGAGAGAGAGAGAGAGAGAGAGAGAGAGAGAGTATTCACGTGTCTTATAAATGATAAAATTAATTATATATATATATATATAAATTAAAAAACAGTATACATACCAGTCCTTTATTATTATAATAATTTTTTTTTGTAACTACCATTACCTAAGCCATAAGCTATACCATAATTATAACGTCAATTATTTTGTATATATTTTTTAGTATATATATATACTGTATATTAGTTGTCAATTTACAACAAAAATAACTATTTTAAAATCAAATAATATTTTCCTCATATATATATACATATGTATTATACAGTATATTATTATATGTCTAATTAATTTAGTTTTTTATATTTAGTGGAAAAAATAAACTTATTTTTTGTTGTTGTGTTGAATAACAACAAAATTATAAATAGTTTTTTTTGATTATATATAAAATGTGTTTTTTTGTTTACTAATAATAATAATAATAATATTGTATTTTTATATATCATATATTAAATATTTTATTCAGTATATGATATATTTATAAATAATATAATATAATAAGTGTAATAATTAATTATTGAGTTTATATATATATATATTGTTTTTAATTGTATTTATTGTAAATTAATTAATTATATGGTTTAGTAATATCTATTTTTTAACTTAAATATTAAAAAATGAAATTCAATAATAATAATTACAATTACAATGTATTATCAATATATTAACAACAAATAAATAATTTATTTATTATTAAATAGTATTAATAAAAAAAATTAAATGATATGTTTATTATTTATTAATTAATTGAAATATAATATAATTTAATTTTTTTTTTTGAATTTTGTTTGAGGTTTGAATTCAAAAAAAAATTAATAAATCAAATATACAGTAATAATAATAACATTAAAAATTAATTAATTATTGGATTTATATAACAATCAGTAGTAGGACTGTCATCGATATTGAGATAAAATATTGAGGAACCGGTAGTTGTTGTTGTCGAGGAACTGGTGATTGTTTGACTACGAGTCCTATGTTTAGACGACGAGGACTGGTTGTCATCAATCAGCTGATTGACGATACAGTGCTGTTGTTGGCTGTCCAGTGACTGCTGCCGCCGGTGCTGCCAATGATGTCGCCACCAATTGCCATACCGGTGCCAACACCACTGGGAACTATCCAAACATAATACCAGCCGAAGCCAACGTCTACCGGCTGTACGGAAATCCTGATTCAGATAACAGTAGATAAACGGATTGAAACAACAGGAGCTAATGGCCAGCCAATAGAAAAACAGGTAGTATTGGGATGAATTGCAATCGGTGGCCAGCAGGGGTGTTATGTAAAAGTCAACTAAGTGTATCAGGTGGACAGGTAGCCAGGCCAGTGCGAATGCCATGAGGGCCAGTGTCAACATTTGAATGGTCCGGCGCTTGGATCGGCTAAACAGTCGGGACTGTTGTGCGGTAACGGCACCTGTAGGTAAAGGTTATGGGTATTTAAAAATCATAATTAATATACATAAATCAAATGTGTTTGGGTATGTGTATGTGTATGTGTATGTGTATGTGTATGTGTATGTGTATGTGTATGTGTATGTGTATGTGTATGTGTATGTGTATGTGTATGTGTATGTGTATGTGTATGTGTATGTGTATGTGTATGTGTATGTGTATGTGTATGTGTATGTGTATGTGTATGTGTATGTGTATGTGTATGTGTATGTGTATGTGTATGTGTATGTGTATGTGTATGTGTATGTGTATGTGTATGTGTATGTGTATGTGTATGTGTATGTGTATGTGTATGTGTATGTGTATGTGTATGTGTATGTGTATGTGTATGTGTATGTGTATGTGTATGTGTATGTGTATGTGTATTTGAAAGTATATTTCAAGGATATTAATACATTTACATTATTTGTATTATAATAACAGTGTAATACATATTATACTAATACTTTAAAAGTAATAAATTGTAATTAATTGTCATTTATCTTAACCTAATAGACAAGTAAATGGACATAAATAACATACCGATCCGTTTTCGGGAAACAATCTTAATCATACAAAACACGTACAACACTGTCGATAGGGACAGTGGTATAGCATATTGGGTGACCATAACAAAGGCGGCCCTAAACTGGCGGAAACCGGCAGTCGATATATGAGGTGATAGGGATTGGGTAACGAAAACAATGCGACAGTAGATGAGGCGTCGGGGGCCGAAAAACTCCCAGATCCTCATCGATGTCATCGACGGTAGACAGCACAGGGCCGACAGTGTCCATACGGTGGCTATGGGTAGGGTTGGCCTGAGTCGCCGAGCTAGCGGTTTCTGGACGACCAGATACCGGTCGTAGGCTATTACGGTCATTGTAAATGTCGATACATAATAGGATAGTATTTGACCCGATTTGGCCAGTCCGCAACCTTTATCGCCGTAACCGTCTAGTATGCCGTACGAACATAGCAGCCATTGACCTATTGTTGGTGACCGGAGGTCAGGGACAGGGAGAGAGAGAGAGAGAGAGAGAGAGTTAGTTAATAAATATTTTTTTTATATATAAATAATTTATTTATTTTATATACAGAATAATATAATTTGTTATTATTTGTTGAAAATTCTGTATAATTTTTTTTGTTGATTTATCTTCTAAATAGTTATCAGATAATAATTATTTAGTTAATTATTATTTGTAAATAATTAATATTTTAATTATCTAAATTGTTATCCGAAATTTAATTATTTAGTTAATTATTATTTGTAATTAATTAATAATATTATAATTAATATATATATATATATATATATATTAATTAGTTAGTTATAAAATACCCTTAAAATTTTTGTTGTTTTATAAATAAACAAAAAAAATTTTAATTAATAATAATAAGTTGTTTTTTTTAATAATATCTCAATTAAGTGTTAATTAAATTATTAATATTAATTAAAATTAATTAGTAATATACAGTAAATTTATTATTATTATTACAAAAAACATTATAATAATAATAAATTGTAATAATTAAATGCATTTTAATTAATTATATCTATTTTTATTTAGCATAACACACACACACATCCCATACCCCACTCCCCCACACACACACCCGGGCATACCTGGTATAGACAATGATCCCAATATGTCACTGATGGCCAAATTGCCGATCAATATATAGGTTGTACTGATTGTCGGCCGGCTGAACACTACATAACAAACCAATGAATTACCAAATACGCCGACACCAGTGGTCAGGCCGTACAGTATGAGTATAACAATATCCTGAACTAGTTGTAGGTGTGTTCCCGTTGCTGTTGTTCCCGTTGTTGTTGTTGACGGTTCAAAACTACTGGCCTGTTGTTGTTGGTTGTGGTGGTGGAGGTTATGATGATCCGGGTGCTGCTGCTGCTGCAGTAGTAGCACCGGTATCACAATAGTTGTATAGTTATTGTTTGTATAGTTATTGTTGTTGGTATAGTAGTTGTTGGTATAGTTGTTATCGGACAACATCATCATCACATTTAACCATTGATTGAGTTTTATTGATGATATAATAAAACTAACGGTGCCTTAGATGTTGACACCACATAACATAATAATGTGGTTTCACTTAACAGTTAGTACTTTATTATTATTATTATTATTGTCTATCGATTTGAAAAATCATTATTAAATTAATTAATTAATTATTATTAATAAATTATCGGTTATTAATATACTTTCTCTATGTTGTAATCGATGGCTTAGTTTATCATATATATTGCCTACTGTTCCTCCCTATCATTAGTAACAGTATATAAGGAACTGGTGTTTGACTAACTAATAATCATATAATTGTTGAAAAGTTTTCAAAAAATTTTTTTTATTTATAAAAATAAACAAATAATTTGTTGAATCACTAGAAAAATATACACAAAACTTGAATCTCTGATTAATTTTTAAACTTAACATTAATTAATTAATTGTTATTATTATTATTATTACAATTTTTGTTACACTAAATATTATTAAACAAATTTCACTGTAATTTTAATTATTATTATTATTAGTCTCAGTGTACGATCCGGTACTGTACTGTATATATATCATAAAATAAATAAATAAAAATAATTATTTAGAAAATAAATAAAAATAATTAATTACAAAATAAATAAAAATAATTAATTAGAAAATAAATAAATTAATTAATAAAAAAACATTAGTTAGAAATTTAGATATATATTTAATTTGTAGACAAAATTATTTAGAAATATTTTTTTTAGTGATAATAATAATAATATTTTAACTAAAAAAAATCACATTTTCTTGAATATAATTATATATAAATATTTTTGTTGGTTTTTCTACACAAAAAAATAAATAAATTACATTTGTATTTAAAAATAAAATATCAAATATTTTATATAACGTTTCTATTATTAWTATTATTATTATTATTATTATTACTAGACCTTCAAAATGAAATAACAATTTTTTATAATAATAATAATAATATTATAATTTTTATTATTATTATTATATTAGCATTTATATGTCATCATTATATATATATATATATATATGTCAATAAATTATACCATATATACCAAATATATACAGTATTAATATAAAACAATAATAAAACTTTTAATTTAAATATTTTATATACACTCTATAATAATAATAATAATAATAATAATAATGAAATAAACTATTTTTAATTAAAAATAAATGACAATTATATTATTATTATTACTATTATTATTATTATTATAAACTTATTTACATAAATTAAATACTATAATAATAATAATAATAATAATAATAATACCTTAAGTATGTCATCAATACATTTATAAAATCAATAATAATAATAATGATAATTATTTTTGGGGTAATCTCATAAAATAGGTATATATATATTAATAGATACTTATTATAATATATATATATATATATATATATATATATATATATATATATATGATATATACTGTACTTAAAATTAAAACAAATACTAATATAAAACAAAAATTATAGTATATTTAAACAAAAATTTTATTTAAATTTTCACATTCAATAAAATAATATCAACAAATATATTGATAATATTAAAAATTATTTATCATTATTACCCAAATATTAAGTATTATTAAAACTTATTTTTATTATTATTTGGGTATTTCTGAAAAATTTCATAAATATATTTATTTTATTATTATTATATAATAATTGTATACTTATTACTACTTTTTATATGATTAGGGTATTTCCAAAACCAAATATTGTTATTATTATTACTATTATTATTATTATTATTCAGACAATTATTATGTAACTTTTTTTTAAAAAAATATCAAAAAACTTTTTTAAATATATTAATAAATTAGAAAAAAATTACATAAAATTTTCATTTTTATATTTTTTAAAATACTTATACAGTGTTTGCGAAATAATTATATATATATTTTTTTATTGAATAACTAATTCAATTAATAATAATAATGTTATAATAATATTATTAAGAGATATAGAGATAGTGATGACTCAAATCAATGATTATATCATATTTTTTCTATAAATGATTTGAAACTATTGATTAAATATTACATGTATTACACAAATAGTATATAATGTTTAATAACATTATATATATATATATATATTTATATATGAAATTATACACAATAATCATAATAATAATCTTTAAATATTTATTAAAAAAACAATTATTAAAATAAATTATTATTATTTTTTATTTAAACGGAATCGCTTATCAATAAAAAAAATATCAAATAATAAATTAAAAAAAAATATATTATTAATAATTATTTTTGTATAAATGTGTTCAAACATTACTACTATATTATTATTATATTATGTTTAGTTAAATAATACTAAAATAATAATAATAATAATAATAATATAATTTCTAGACTACTATTCTAGACTATATCGTTGGGGAAAAAAACATTAACAACAAAATTAATGATTCATTTATTATTATTATTATTATCATAAAAACAAATTAATTACTATTTATTTATTTAGTTTAAAATTTAGTTAAAATTATACACAAAGTTATAGATAGTGTAATGTCTGAACAAATATTTTTGTTAATTTTTTTTATAAACATTTAAAATTTGTTTCATATATTTATATGTAATAAAATTAGTTATAAATATATATAATTTCTAAAAATAGATTTTTATGGTGAAAACAATAATATATATCTATTGAATATTATTAGATAAATAAACATATTGTTAATTAATTAATGTTAGTAAATGTTTTTAAAACTTAAATTAGTATCAAAAAAAAAATCAGAGAAAATTTATTAAATTATATTCACTTATCATAAAAAAATATTAAATTAATTTTAATTAATTTTCTTGATATCAAAAACATTGATTTTTTAGTTATTTATTTATTCATTTCAATACTTATATGATATACTTTGAATGTATTTTTTCAACAACAAAAAAATTATTATTTATTCATTTGAAATCAAATGTTAACTAAAAAAAAACAAATTTTTTAAATTAAATTTTTATTTTTATTTTCAAATAACATATTATAGCATATAATTTCAAAAAAACATTTTTTTATATTAAACTTTTAAATCAAAAAATTTTTTTAGAGTACTATTGATAATATTATTGAGAAAAAAATTTATTGACAATTAAAATAAATGAATAAAATATTATTTTTCAAAATAAATTGATTAATAAATAAATAATAAATAAATACAGTTTTATATTTCACACACACACTAGTCATTGAATTTTAAATTAAATAAAAATCGGAAAATTTTTTGTATAAAATTTAAATTATTTAATCATATAATAAAACTTTAAAAATTAAAAACAATTAAATGTCAAACAAAATATAGAAACTGTGATTAAATTGAATTAAATTATTTAAACATTTATTTTTTTAGTAGATTTTATTCACATTTATTTTTTTTGTATAATTGTGTAACAAAAATATATTAGTAATAATATTATAAATGCATTATTTATAATCTAATATAAATAAACTGTATATATATATATATATATATATATATATTTATGAAACAATAACATAATAATAATAACAATAAAATAAATTAATGTTATATATATTTTACATGCATTTTATTTTATTTAAAAAAATCCTAAATTTAATTTATTTAAAATGTTATCTATTTGTTTGTTTGCTTGTTTGTTAAATATGTATTATTTATATCAAATAATAATAATAATAATAAAAATAATAATAAAGGATATGCTATACACACACTATATATATATATATATACTGTATATATATAAATAATTGAAATTTTTTTTTATATATAAAAAATATTATTTACATAAACATAACCATTTAGCCCATGAATTTCAATCATATATATTTATATACTGTATATATATATATATTATACAATGTATTTATAAAACATATCATATTATTAATTTTTTACACAATAATAACAAAAGGGTAGATAAAACAGTATATTATTATACATCAAAAAAATATACTGTTATTATAAAAATAAAACATATTATTATTATTATTATTTTCATCTCATTTATTATATTGTTTGTATAATACATAATAATAATAATTGTAAACTATTAATGTAATAGTAATGTAAATAATAATTTTAATATATAATTGTTTTGTATATATAWATATATAATTTTAAGGCTCAATGATTTTTTAAGCATTTAATATAATGTAAAATATATTTTTTATTATTTATATTAAACACACAAATGTATAATAAATAATACATTAATTTATTTTGTTTTTCATTAAACAACATTTTATTTAAACAACAAATCTCTCCCTTATATATATATATATATATGAAAAATATGTTTTTATTATCTGACAGTAAAATCTAATCAAAAATTATATWTATATATATAATATATACAATATATATATACTTGAAATATAATACCTGTATATATATATATTGTATATATTGCTGATAAAAAAAATTATAATTTAATGACTCAACAACACTAGCAATAAATTATATTTGTATCAATTGATTGCTGTCCACATATAAAATAAAATCATATAATCATTTAATTTATATATATATATATGATTTATTTTTATTTTTAAAAAATAAATTAATTAATATTATATAAATATGATAATAGTTTGATTGGTTATAATTAAATAATTAAGATAATATACTGTATATATATATATATATTAAATAATAATTATACAATTATATAATATCAAATATTTAAAAAAAAAATAATATACAAATATATTGCAAAATATATTTATATATTATATATAATTTATAGCAAACAAAATAAATCAATAATAATAATAATAAATTATTGCCACAAATATAATAGTAATTAACTGATAAAATAGTTTATACTGTATTTTATTAAAAAAAACTATTTTCCTATTTTGTATATTTAAAAAAAAAAAATACATTTTCAATAGTGATATATAACTACAGTATATATTAAATTTCAAAGTCATCATTGAATTTAAATTAAAAGTTAAATTAATTTTATTTATTTATTTTTATTTATTTATTTTTTCATATAAAAATATGAATCATTTTATTTGAA